GTATAATCTTGCAGCTTCTGCAATGAATAGATTATTGTTCTCCAACACAATCATTTTAAGCCACAGTAGTTCTTTACATATAAACATAAACCCTTTGACATTTAAAATATCATACTTCTTTTTTCTCCTCTTCTGTCACCTCTCCAGTGTTTTGCATCATTTTGTTTTGTTGATTTCGTTTAAATTCTGTTTGCTTTAATATTTTTATACAGAAGAATATTCTCTGAAAAACCTGAATGTAAGTTCTATTACATTGCCAAACACCTACTTTTGCATATAAACCATATAACTGGATTTACTGGATGGTTCAGAAAAGTTTATATTTCCAAAACATTATAAAATCTCAGTACAGTACTACTGGTACTAAATCAGTTTTTATATTTGTAAGAACGTCCAACACATTACCTTTTCATAGCTAAAACGGGTTATTGTACAGTGTCCAACTTGAAGAAATTAGGTGGTGAATTACACATCAGTAAAGACTGCTGAACAACCAGCTATATTATGCCTGGCCTTCCATTTTATCTGAAACTCAGATACGAGTAGGTTCCATACCTTGCACATGTTAACACCTCACTTCATCAGAAGAGTCAAGACTCATACCATGAGCTTTTTAATATACAGTAACACACCCTTTATCTTAACCTCTTCATCAGTTAGCCTCAAAGGCCTATACCTCTATACCTACTGCCACATCTCACCTTTTTTTCCCAAGTTAAACATTTCCTGACCAATACATTATAAGCTGCTGTAACCTGAGACCAGTCCTTATCCTTTTTGTGCATTGATAGATGTGGGCTAGTTGACCATAGACCAGTGAAATGTGACTGACTATGTGTTCTGAGGAGAATGTCAGAGAATTTGCACAAATAGGTTTTGTTTTCCCTCAGTCACAAATGGAATTGCTTGTGAAACGTGTGTGCTGTAAGAACCGGAGACATGCCACAGAAGGGAATGGTGCCGTCTATACATCAATCTGCCCTTTCAAAAGAAAAGGCAAAGCTAAAAGTTATGGTTTGCTCTTCTTTGTTTTTGTTGTGATTTCAAAGATTTCGGAAGCACTGGGGTTCAGCATAAACGGACCGCGTGGAGTGTAAACAGTACTTTCCTGCTGTCTCCATCTCCCAGCAGCTCCGCATGAAGGATGCATGCCTCATCGCTAACTTCTGGTAAAAACTCTTTGTGCTAAATAAACAAACAGGAATAAACATTGTCCTCTTCACTAACATTTCCTGTCCTGAAATATGGTTTGTTTAGTAATCTGTAAAACACAGGCAGATAAACACCTGTCTCATGTTCTTCCACCTTTGGGTCTCAAATTTTCACACAGCAGGGAATGGGAGCTTGTTCTCAAACAAACTCCTAAAACATGTATAGGGGCCCCAATTCGAAAGGCTTCAAAGCCTTCTCTAGCACTCCTACACTGTTACTTTTCTGGATATAATCTCTAAGCGAGCTACATAGTACTGGATTCCTAAATCTAAACTTATTTTGCACAACTTCTAATTGCTCATTTGAAACTAGTTGTTGGGCTATATGTGTTATGTAGAAATCAAGCTAAATCTCAGGCACTGAGGACACTCCAACATGTATAAGAATGTAAATGGGATAGACAGCATTCTGACAGACTGGGATTTTTTTTTAGTTGATTTAGAGCTATATGCAAACCATCACACAGGTACTGGTGTTGTAGTACATGCTAGTATTGCATTAATTGCATCTTTTTTCACCTCGAACGAAATCTGGCTACACGAAATAAGTTAAAATATATTTTACACACAAGCAAAATAACATAAGCAACAGATGTAGAGATTTTTTAATGAACTGACACAAGGACTCTCTCAGAAGCAAAAAATTAGAGATAAAATACAACACATGTGCATGATTTATGAGACCAATGTTCCAGCACGCAAGCACACACCGTTTCCAAGACAAGTTGTTTTGTTGATATGGCTTTTTGGGATCCCCAGTCAATTATCTGGGATGTTAGTAACATTCACAAAACTCGTATGTGTTCTAATCAACCATGTCTATTATGACGGAAAACAGGATTGATATTTAAAAGTGATGTCAGAGCAGTCAGAAGGATTTCTATAAATTATCAATGCACTGTCTGTTGGGATAGCAGTGGCCTCACTGAGTAAGCCCCTCCATAGGAAATGGAACAGATAACTTTCAGTGGGTCATGCCAAAAATTGTGCAAAAATTGTGCAAACCCCATCTTGGAAGAAAATAACTGGAGCACATTTGTTTCCGTGACAATTGTTTTTTGCCTGAATGGTTTGGCATTGCATTTGTCTGCTTTGATGAACAGGCTGCATTAGGATATACTTCATCACAGCTCAAGGAACATCTCAGTGTATCCCTGTCAAGCCAACAGAGTGGGCAAAATCAAAAGCAATAGGACTCATAGAGCTGAGCAACACTTTACATTGGCTTTCATCAACTGATCCCTCACCTCAATTGTTTATTCCCATTGCTTTGTGATTCCATCAGTATGTTCAGCTGAATGCACAAAAAAGATAAAGGAAACTGAACATCTTCATGCATAGAACACAATCATTTCAGAATTAATATTTTAACAGATTCTGATAAGACAGAGTGTGTATGAGTCATAGTCTTTACGACGGTTTACCACGGTAAATGTATAAGTATTTTTGCCGACTTACCATGACACTTCACTTACGTAGCTAAATTTACTGTCTTTTACTACATGACATTCTACATTTACCATGGTACAATACAGTTAAGCTGAGGACTGTATTTTACTTTTAACTTTCTTCTGGAAAAACAAACACTAAACCCACGGTACTATTTTTGGATTCCTAACTGCATTCTGAAATTCCAATGTGTCATATTTTTCTTGGAAAGTTATAGTGAATATGCTACCGCAATTAAATGTTCAACAATACCTTGATACAACACCCTCACTCAGTAGTAAGGCCTCATTCAGAATATTGTGTACAATTATGGTCATCATGTTTCAAAAAAAGGTACTTCTGCTTTGGAATATTACCATAGGAAGAGCAATCACATACAGTATATTCCCAGCTTAAAAGAATGTACTGCTTTGACGGGCTAAAAGAACCAACCCTTTCAGTCTTGAACAGAGTAGACTACAAAGCATCTGATTCATGTATTCAAAATCCTCAAAGCAACTGACAAAGATGTCTTCACAATGGATGTCTTCAGAATCAACAGTGAATCATAAACAAAAGGGCGCAAATGTAAACTTAAGGCAAATATGTTTAAAACACAAACCAGTAGGTAATTTGTTACACAGAATGTTGTGGGAGTATGTAACAAACCACACAGCCATATTCATTAGGTTGGTAGACTGGCTTCTTAGAAGAAAAGTTTGTCTGAAAGTCCTGGGATCAGTTAGCTGCTATCTTCCAAGAGGGTATAGTGGCCGAATAGAACCCTCCGGTTTGAAACCTTTCTTATGCTCCTATGAAACCCTGGCTTACACAAAACAGGGCTGGATGGGATCTTCGGATCAATTAGATACTAGCGTTCTTATGTTGCAAATCTGGCAGCGGTTATGCTGTACAGTATTCACTCAGTTGAACAGCGTTTCTTCAAAAACAATAAACACAAAGACATACTGTAGGACAAACTCCACCTAGACGACATAGAATAGTTCAGTTTCTAATGCAAACGTCAATTGTGCGCTGCTATTTTAATGTGTCGCATGGGACGAAGGCAGTTATGAAATTCTGTCAGCGCTTAGCTGACACTCCCTCCGCTGTGCTCAATTTTCACCTAACATGAACCACTTCCGTTCTGTAAGCGAATGCTCGTGCAAGTACAGTATATGGACTTGGTAAAAAAAAAGACATATGACCATGCACAAAGCACGGCTTACTTTGTACTGGTTTAAAACGTATTTTACATCTGCTGTACACACACACACAGCCTTTCCTTATGAATGAAGGAAAACTGTGAATGAGACGCAAGGTAGCAGTGTACTGTTAAACACAAGTACGTACTGTACCACGACTTTGATATGCTGTGCTTGATCAATCTGTAACTTTACAGGATACTGGATCACAAACGTTTTATTGTGACACCGGTTAATGCATTTATGGTTCACCCTAAACGTCAACATTGAACGAATTAGATGAATAACCCTAACGCTATTTTTGTTTGGATGTACAGTACGGTTTCCCCAACAGCCGGCACTGAAATACAGTCTGTCCACTATCCTTTCCAATAAATAAGTCGTCGAGTCTAGATTCCAAAATGCATCCTTACTAAATTTCGAGGGGGAGATTCTTCATGAGCAGCTCATAGAACAGTCCAGCTGTGAAACGTTTCCCATCAGACGGACGCGTTATTAGGACAGAAAACAAGCTAACGTCTGATTTCAACCGCACGCCTGCATAAGCACATAGTACTGTGTGTAAGAGAGAAAGGGTTGTTACCACGGACAGCTAGTATATTTTGGTACTAAAACGGAAAGAAATGAGAAGCAAATCGTTTGAAACAGATTTTAATGTTCAAGTTACCGGTTCTCGACCAGACAGTTTGGATTTAACTGCCAAGACGCATAACTTTCGTAGACACCTAATAAATGACTGATCGGATCCAGTGTGCGATGACCTTAATCCTAAAACGGATGTGGGTAGCTCATATTGTTTTCCTTTAAAGATCAACTAAAGACGTAAGAAGTGACATACGTTAATACTTTAAAAAGTGATACAATGGTGAACTCAGGCTAGAGAGATGTCGACTCTCCAATAAAGTGGCTCTGAATACACAGTATTTGTCGACTTCACATTACATCTGTCTCAGAAACAACATCCGAAACTAAGCCGAATACCATTAGATTAAAAAAATGTTTTAGGAATTATGAATGTAATCTTTCAGGCCGAGATAAAAAAAATAAATCGTAAGCTTACCTACCCACGATATATATGACTTCATTGCAGAGAGTTTTCGAAAGCGCAAACGCATCACCGTTTAGGTTTCATATTCACATTTAAAGACTTCCTTACCTTCTCTCGCCTTTAAAAGCACCGTGTTGGCCACAATATTTTCTAACTCCATTAATATCCCGTCTGTGTGACCACGACACAAACTCAGGGCGAGTGGATGCTGTCAGTGTTCGGGCTGTATGCTGGAAACCCCAATCCCCGTAGCCGCAGAGAAATTCGGTTTCTCTTTTTCTTTGACAATTCAAATCAAACGAGTAGACATTCTGAACTCGAAGAACTGCTTTGCACACCAGCACTTAAGTCTCCAGCACACAAGCACGGTAGGAGTTTACGGATATCGTTTTGCGAAGACATGTCCATTACAAAATATTTAAGATAAAACAGTTTAAATAGTTCAGTAAATAGTCATTTAATTTAGAGTATCACACATGCCGTTGTCTAAGCATTTTTTCCCTGGTGGTTCTTTGATAGTGGCCGCGTCTGTGAGCCAGGTTAGATTCCAGACCAGTAATAACACTGCGGAGTTCGTAAAGTACACTTGGGGTTGTCACAATCTCAACATGCTCCCCCTCTCGGCGCGTAATCAAAGCAGGGCTGGGTTTTGGTTGTGGGGTTTGGCGACGCTCCAAGCGGCTTCCCCGTGCTTCTGGTCAGCTCTGGGTCAGAAAGTACAGGTATTGTTTCCTTCGGCCGAAAAACAGAAGAGCACCCGTTTATCTCTAACAGATTTGTTTCCTATAAAGCAAGCAAAACGGAGGACTCTTTTTGCTCGGCTACCGAGGCACAGTGGGTCGGAAGAGGCGTACCCACGGCTGCTCCTGACGCACGAACGCTGAGAGAAGAGGCATGTCTGGCTGTCAAAGACATCTGATAGCAGACTTTTTTTTTCTAATCCCCCCTACCAGCCCCCGCCCCGTACCAGGCGGAGGAGGGCTACCTCGTGGAAGGTGCTGTTTTACATCAAAACAGATAGCGGAGATACTCCTGTTAAATTGCACACCTTTACTACGCAGAAAAAAATAATAATTAATTATAATAATTATAATTGCTTACACTTATACAGTATAGCGCTTTTCTGGACACTCCACTCAAAGCGCTTTACAGGTAATGGGGACTCCCCTCCACCACCACCAATGTGCAGCCCCACCTGGATGATGCGACGGCAGTCATAGTGCGCCAAAACGCGCACCACACACCAGCTATCGGTGGGGATGAAGCCAGTTCATAGATGGGGATTATTAGGTCTAATTTCATTCGATTTTTCGAAAGGTCTGGGGTTTATACAACACTCAAAAACCTCAATTTATCAGATGTATGTATAGTAACTATTCACTACGTCCGAGACAGCTGTATTTACATCGCTCAAATCTCAGTAACATCTTGCATATCTGCGTATGTCTTTGCGAACTAGCTGCATATTCATAGACTGACAGAAAAAAGAGAGGTCTACTGGCAAAATGTTTAAGTTTTTTTTTTGCAGCTTCACTGATTTGAATCGAGCACCGAACCGTTGCGCCATCTGCTGGGAACATTGTCTCTCCTGTACAACTTGCACGGGACAATGACTTACAGTACCAACATCAAGAGTTGCAGTCTGTTGCTTTAACACTCGCAACCGTGAGAGGATGAAGCAGACATCGATGTTTTTATATGCACAACCAACTCCACACATTCAAAGCAAAAAAGAAATAAGTAGATAATGTGAAAGAAAAATGTACAAGTAGTTTGAAGTATTCAAACTCTTTGCCAAGGCAAACCTAAATTAATTCTACCAGAGCAGAAAACAAATCCTCAAATCCCAAATTAATTCAGCTGCACAAAATAACCTTAACTAGCTACATAGTTAGTTGTGTCATTAAGGACTGGAAAGCACCCATACACTGCCTGCCTCAGTTTCCTCCTTGGCCAGCTGCCATTATGCTGATGGCAACTTTGAAAGAGCTACAGCATTCAGTGGCTGAGACAACGTCCATGACTCAACAATATTTCAATCATTCCACAAAGCTGTGTTGTATGCCAGAGCAGAAAACAAATCTCAAATCCCACACGGGGTTTACAACAAAACATTACAAGACACTGCAAGATATGTGGCAAACGGTTTTGTGTGGTCAAACATGACAATTTTGGAAACTTTTGGTCTAAATGGAAAGCATTTCATTTGATGCTAAACCAGCCTAGTGCCTACTTAGTCCATACCATTCCTACCACCAAGCACGATGGTGGTAACATCATGTTATACTTCTCCTTGTCATCAACAGGGACTGGGAAGTGGGTCAAGACTGATGGGAACATACAGTAGATGGAGAAAAGTACTGGCAAATCTTAGAGAAAAGTTGCTTCACACCTAAAAGTGGCACAAATATTAATCTTTCAGCTTGACAGTGATCCAAGGAGCAAGGCCATATCTACAGATATTACAGAATCTGTTAATATCCTTAAGTGACCCAGTCAAATTCCTGTCTTGCATCTTTTTTACAATCTACGTAGAGACGTGCAAAAAGTTGTTTGTAAGAGATCTCCAAGCAACTTCAGCTTGAGCAAATCTGCAAAATTATACTAAGCTGATGTGCAAAACTACTTGCAGTTGTAACTGCTGTCAACAGTGCTTCCATCAAATATTGAGTTCACAGGTCTAAATACTTAAATTAGCAACATTTATGATTATTAAACAAGTTAAGATAAGATTTTTATTGTCCCCTGAGGGATTTTTTTTTTTTATGAACACCCACTTTAAGATTTGCTCAAACTGTCAAGTTGGAAGGGGAGCATCAGTGAACTGCAGTCTTCTAGCCTTTCCACAGACTCTCAGTGGGATTCAGGTCTGGGCTGTTGCTGGGCCATAGGGACTTCATTGTGACTTTGGCTGTGTGCTTGGGATTGTCGTCCTGCTGGAATGTGAATATTTATCCCAGTCTAGGGTCTTGTGCTTTCTGAAGCACGTTCTCCTCAAGGCTTTGCTTGTACGTGGCACCGTTTCCTTCTCTCCTGACACGTGGCCCAGGCCCTGCCACTGAAATGCATCCTTATAAAATGAAGCTGCCGCCACCAGGCTTCTTGGAAGGGATGGTGTTACACAGGTGATGAGTTGTGCTCAGTTTGCACCTGGCATAGTGCTTTCTATTCAGGCCAAAGAGATCAATACTTTTATTTACGACCAAGGACCATCTTGCCCAATTGCTCAGCTATGTTGCATACTGTACCCTACAAACCTGTCTATCTCCTCAGAATTCGGTCATGGAGATGGTTCCTTAGTCTCCATGGTACAGATTCTTTGACATGGACAGTTAGTTGGGGGATCGTTTATCGATAGGTATGGCTTCAGAAGAAATGCATCAACCAATTGACCTGACCACTGGTAGAATCCAGTTAAGAAGGAAGTTCGATGCAGCCAGGCTCTGTTTGGAGTGTCGTAAAAAAAATATTTTAAATTATATGCAAGACAATTTCCCAAACTCTTCATTCCCCTTATTTGTGCAGATCACTGCCTCTCTGACAGACCCACACGTGCACAAGCCGGAGCCGTTTAGATAAACCCACCCCACGCTCCCTGAGTGTGAGATGGTGCTCGGGGAATCCCACTCACAGCTGGCTAGTGGCCTGACTCGGGCTTGAACCCAAGGACCTTCTCCACAGAGAAGTTCAATTTTGTCTCTCACATTAGGCTAGAAGCCAGGGCTGTGGAGTGCTAGGTTAATGGGATGAGAGCTCATTTCATTTCCTCCGTGCACTGCAGTCTACTCAGAACTACAAATGAGGGACAGCCATGTGGTGGTCAGGTGTCCCATCGAGTATGGAGCAATGCACTCGTGTCACAGAAAAAAAAAAAACTCTGGCCAGATAAAACACACTGCTCACTGTACAGATTTCCCTTATCTTCAACACACTGTTGGTGCACAATACCTGCTTGAGCTAGCCACAAGTAATTAATTTAATATAGCTGAAAAAACAATTCTAAATGAAAAAATCAGGATAAACTAAAGAGCGGGAACAAATACAGTAAGACATGGGTCTTTAAGTATTCCCAGCACCCTATATATATATATATTCAACAGTCAATCACAATTAAGTGTTATATTGCACGAAAACAATACACTAATATTTTTAAAGACCAAAATGTTGACAGTTTTTTAAACAATTCTTAGATTGTTCTCTGTTTATTTACATGGCAGCTCAAAACAGCCACCGTTATTCTGACAGAATAGTACAAAAAACAAGAAGTCCTTTTCATTTAAGAAACATAATATGAAAATAACTACAGCAGCTTAAAACAAGTGCTTTGTTGCGATTTGCCCTGGCGTCCAATGTGACACATATCAAAGGTAACAAAAAGACGATTAGTTTAGATCCATAATTCGCCATTCATTTGAAATACTATTAGACAAAACAAAACGTGGCAAGTTCTGTTAGGGGTAAATATTTTCTTTCCTCTCCCTTCAGGACATGATCATGTTAGTTTGTGAAAACAACAACAACCTGTCATCATCTTGGTTTTAAAACTGAAAGGTCCAATTAAAATAAAAGGGATTCAGTATTCATCTAGGGTGTCTGCTCGTGGGATAGACAGTCCACGGTCCTTAAGTGCTTGTAGTTTTAATTTCTCTGCCTCTTGTTTAGCCTGCTGTTCCTCCCTCTGCTCTTCCAAAATCTCCTCAATGGAAACTTGCTGCAGGACTGTATCACTCTCCTTCTCCAGATCCTAGGAATCAAACACAGACCAGTTTAAGGCTCTCTGCTGATTTGATCTATTTTTATTTGATTAGTTAGATGTGCAGTGTGCTAAGATAAAGCAAGCCTGGGCAGAGAAAAAAAAAAGACAACAGATATTCTAATAAGGCTGAAAGTTACGATACATCATCCTCAGTTTCCAAAGTCCTTTATAGGATTACCAGTGGAGCGTCCTTTATAATGTTTTCAAATTTCTGATTTGGAGATAATTTTTTCCCTTCTACATACCCAGAAAATCACAGATAATTTTTTCTAGCATCAATAGATCCAAGTTTTTGACTTCACTCAAGTTCAAAGTCTTTCCAGTTGACTGCAGTGAGATACCTTGCTATCATATGTTCGATAAATTGATCTTTTCAGAGGCATGTTCACAATGTGCTGAAAAGCCCAACTGCGCTACACATCCAGTAATTGTATATGACAAATGTACTACCATAGGTAGTGCCAGCTTCACCCTGCTGTGAGAATCTTTTACTTCCATTACATTTAATCTTCTGGGTATAAGCCAGTGACAGAGCTGTTTTCAAGACAGCATTCAAAGGGAGTTTGAGAAACTGGGTATTTACAACCAGATCAACCGCCATTTTTTCAAGCCTATTCTTTTTTGTGAAATTAGTTTTTCCAGATCAGTTTATTTTCAGAAAATAACAAAAACAAGTCTGTGTATATAGGACTGATTCAAGGAAACCGTTTTCAGAGCCACATCCTTAGAAACATTCCAACTGATGAAACAAGCTGCTATAGAAGGAGAAGCCTACTTACTATTTCTCCAAGCAGAACAACATTTTCCCCCCTCACTATAAATATTCCTCGAGGGATGTCTCCATACTTTCTGCCCACATGGATACGTTCCACTGTTTGATGCAAGACTAAATTAGCTGCAAATTAAACGGAAATGCAGTTAAAAATCCATTAGCAAGGAACTCTCAAATGCACCGATTCGCAGTGATCAAGTTAAAAATTTTTTCTTTCTGAAATGTTAGCTCCAAGATATAAAAATGTGGAAGTCTCAGTTGTCACAACACAGAATTTAGGGATTGTGATTAACATAACTACAGGATTTACCTACCAAGAGAAAAAACAGCAGCTTTTTTCGTTGAAATTGATCACTAACAAAACAACTAAGAAAATCTAACTGAATGCAACAAGAAAGCAGAAAAAAATGAACTCATTTTAAAGGAACCAATTTCATTTCCGAGTTGTATGATGATACGCATGTCCTGGCAAATAACGTAAAAATGCTATCCCCCCCAAGTTGAATGCAAGTCACGGAGAAAATCTTTAAAGCTAAACCCAAGTGATCCACAATGATTCTTACCAAACTGATCAATACTTCGCAGAAATCCAATCAGTGTTCGCCCGTCTCGTAGAAGGACAAGATGTTTTTCTGCAAAAGAAAAAAAAACCAATACAGCAAAAGATCTTGAGGGTAATCAACAATCAATGTTTTCACTATCGTTCACCACAGGACGTGCAACGACATCATAGTCAGGAACAAATAAAAACAATAACTTAATTGAGCAATGCAATGAAACATTTGATGTTTTAGTCTCCACTCATCGGCAAGTATTATTAAATGTTATAGGGAAATAACACATGCATGGCAGCTAGCCGTAATGTCTTATGTCCTTGTAGGTCGGTTTTACCATAACAGAAACGTAGGTAAGTGACAGAAAAGTAAAATGATATGTGCACGTTTATTTTGCGATAAATTATTATTTTCTAAACCGTTTCGACATGGTTCGACGAGGTGAGAGTTAAGGGAGGAATTGGGACACCTAACCTGAGGCATTCAAATATTGACTAAACAACATCGCCGTTTACTGCATTTTCTAAGCAATACCAGTCACTCACATTAAAAAACAACACGGGGAAAAGCCGCTTTACTAGCTGAAAAAAATAACAATACACCGCTTGCTCTTTCACAACCGAGCAGAGCTTCACAAGATACATTGTAAGGTACGGATCAGCAGTAATTAAACGTATTACTTACTGTCGATATCCTCAATTAGACTCGCTGTTCCCGGCATATAATTCATTTTCTTAAGCGCTATTCAACTATGCTATTTTAAAGTTGGAAATAATTATAAAGAGCCGTTTTCTGGCCATGAATCATTCAAAATGTGTGTATCCTTGCCTTGACAGGAAGTGCAAGGTTAGTGTAAGACCTGCACTTCCTCTGTGATTTAACTCTTTATTTGATGTTCCACTTAAGACAATTTACAGATCTCGTGAAGAGTGAAAACGCTAAATTGGGGATAAAAACATATTTATTGGCATAGTTACTAGTGGATATGCATGTTATAAATTAAATACATTTCACATTTGTCGTGCTCTTTTGTGTGTAACGAGTTGAGTTCTATTGATTGCAAATTTGAAGCAAATTTCAATATCCTACCGGAGAATTAGATATTACGCTACTATGGAGTGAGAGCAGAGAGACTGAAGAAGTTGATTTGTGTTATATACTCCCTATTCGTATTCAGTTGTTTTTAACTTGTCTTGTTCCGATTGAGAAGAGTCAAAACGTTACTGGAATATAAACTTCCCACCATGTCTGAATCAAGGTTAAATAGTATTGATTTTACATCATTAGGATTACCTAACCAATTTATATAATTAGTTATGCAAATTATAATCAAGAGACCAAACTCAATGATGGTGTTAATAAACACAGCCGTTACACTGTGCCATCATATAGCACCACGAAGCTTAAAGGAACGTATTCTGCAAGTAGATATGACAAATATTGACGCATCAAGGATGCGTTATTCCATCCCAAATGTCCCTAGAGATACTTTAGAAGAACCTTTGACGTCCCCTTTAAATTCCCCGGCAAAAACCAGAAGTGACGTCAGTCAGAAGGGCACCAAGACCCCGCTTTCATCTATAGGTCGTTTTCCAGGATGTAGGTGGGACGTGTTTCCGAGTTCTGAACACCTATTGGTCAAAAAATGATTTAACCTATTGACGTAAGAAGAGTGTGCCCTCATGTAATAATTGCCATCTAGGACGAGGAAAGCAGAGTTCCTCAAACTTAAAGGGGCGGTACACGTTTCGCGTCTCATTGTTTTATGTGGTTGTGTTCCGTTTTAAACGCACAGCCACAGAACTCTAGCCGTACACTGGTTTAACAAGGAATGTCAAGTTGGTAAAATCGGGCTCAATGGCGTACGATTCGTTAGGCAACGAGAGAGGTCGTGCAAATGGTGGAGATCCTGTATGGGCGATGCACCAAATGCAATCAAATCCCAAAGGAACCTGGCCTCCTTATAGCAACAACTCGGAAAACAACAACTGGAATGCCCCTATGGTGACAGGCAGTCGGGTAAGTAGTGCTTAGCTTAGGATGCATATTGGTGATCTTTCGTGTAACTTGTGGCAGCGTTGAATAGGCTATGGGGCTTATCTTCAGCAGCTACAGTAGGATACCTTATAGATGTTCGAATCTGGTTGAATACCTCGTTTCTTCTTAATTGAACTTTATTATTCATTAATTTCCTTCCAGTATTTTCACTCGAGTGTCACACATTAAACGACTTGTCGTTGTCGTTGTTGTCTTAAGTACCGTATTAACCCCTGTATATTTTTACTATACTGTGCTGATGTAACAGCACACAGGCTTAGATCAACAGAACTATAAGACGGACATTTAAGGCAGACAATAACTTAAATTACTTAAAGCTACTTAAAAGCCGACGTGTAGAAGCAGTTTTCTTAACCACCTAAAAATATTTACTGGCTCGGCATCGTACCGTACAAAGAAGAGCAAATAATTCAAATAATTCCTTATCTTAGGTGCATAGACATTTTACCAAATATAAGGCATGACCAGAGGGAGCATAAAGTTGTCAAATAAACTTTTATTTACAGTGCAGCAAAAATGTGTAAAACTTTGCAAGTTAATACTAAAGTCCAAACCACAGTTTATAAGTAACCAGTGCAGTGATCGCAGGAGAGGGGTGGCATGAATACACGTGATTGATATAGATTTTATGAGGGAGTAAGCAGCACTGCTTTGCACAATTTGAAATCTTTCAGTTGTGTTTTAGAGATACCAGGATCAGTCCTAGAATAATAATAATTAAAAAAAAAACTAAGACGAGATTCTCAGCATACGATAGTCAAGCAAAATACAAGTACTTCAAAACGATGCTCTAACATGTTGGTGGCCAAACCACTGGTCCTGGAGAGCTACAGTCCAGTAGGTCCTATAGTAACCTTTTAAATCTTAATTCGTAAATACATTGAACTTGTTTCTCAAGTGATTTTGATTTCATTTCAGATCAAAAATTCGTCTCGGAACTGAATGTCCTGCTTCTGTGGTCAAAATGAAATTGTTTCAAGCATTTGAAAATGGATTTAAGGGTGACCTTATGACCAGCTGGATTGTGCCTCTTCAACACCACGGCTGGCCACCGCTACTGTAGCTTCTTATTATACACACGATTATCAAATGACTGCCTTAAACTTCTGGATTTGTCAGTCTGATGCTGAGAACAAACTAATAGAAACTAATAGAACCTCAGTTTTATTATTAAGTTATGAAATTTTGATACCTACAAGATTACATGCAAAGACTGTTAGAGTATGTGACCTAGAAATTAGGTCATTATTATCACCAGCATAGAAACAATAAGTGTTCTGCCTCTGTATTATTTGGATGAAGGGTAATATATACTGTACTATAGTTAGTGGATAACAGAGAGCCCTGTTTTATCGACTCCGATGAACACCAGTAAGGAACAGGTTTGTGGAAGAAGTACAGTGAAGAAGTGATACACACTGTCTTTTTGTACAGACAGGACACAAACTAACAAAGGACAGAGTTAGTAATGCAAATTTTAAATTGTTTAAGGGGATTGTTATAATGGACAGCGTCAAAGGCAAGCAACACAAGAATGGTCTAGCAAACAGAAATGGTCATTAACAAATAATTTACAACTCGAACCACAGCAGTTTATGTGCTGTTTTTTAGCCTATACAGAGACTGAAATGGAAAAGTTTCACTTAATTAATTTCTATTCAGATGGGTTTGCAACTGAAGGATCACACTAGAACAGTTGTTACAAAGAAAGATGTGAAATGAGTCTGCCTTTGCTCAGGGTATTTTTACTTAATTACTTAATAATGAAAACAGGTGGTCATTTTAAGTATTCCAGCAGTCAGGTCAGATGGAGTTTTTTGGAGATTCCAATCATATTCCTTTAGTTCTCAAAGCAGAAATATTTGATCTGATGACAGCTTTCATCCTCCAAAAATCAGTCACTAGATAAAACAGTTTTTGCTTTGGTAGAATGGACTCATAGATTAAACAGATTGAGTGTTTTCTGTCTGATTTCCATTTGCATTCAAATTGACGACCTGCAGAACTGGACCCCAGTTCATCAAGTTTCGGGACAATGATGCCCAGCTGAAAAGTTTAATCATATCCTTCAGTGACAGAGAACCATGATTATAAAGACGTGATTCTAAACTAAACTCAAAAAGATCTGCCACCAGGTTTGTTCAGTAAAACATTTTTTTTTCCATGTGAGTGTCAATTAAACATTTTGACCATGGTGTGTTTAAGAATTTTGTTTTGCATTTTTCTTGAAATGACAGCCAAAAAAATAGAATATTAAAAAATCAGTTAACGTTCCAAGAGTATTGATACACGGGGAAATGAAAATATCTCCTCTAAGTAACTAATATAATCACATTGGGAGGATGGTGGTTAATCCCTATATTCAGGTGTAGACAGCATCCTTGGGGTTTGTTAGCCTACTGTTGATAAAGGAATGCAGAACTAGTACCAACATGTTGGACAAAGAGGTCCACATGTACGATTAATCGTCCCCTGAAGGAGCTGACAGATTTTTTGGAGGAGGCTGGTTTTTGCTGTTCTGTAGTACTGCAATACTCTTTGCCGCAGTAAACATGGTAACCTTCTAACAGCTGGTTTGTCTCATAGGACTCAGTACCCTACCCTGGCTATCCATCCAACTACTGGTACCCACCATCTCACCCAGCCGGTCCATATTCAAATACATATTCTCCTGGAACAGAAGTCAATGGACAGACTCCATACAACCCCCAGGTACAGTATTGAGTGATTCTGCTTCACTGCATGACACTCAATCGGTGGACTGGCTCACTCAAGTGTTCCTCCCCTCGGTCTATAAGAGAGGTTGTTTTAATCACATTATACTATCAAGCTTGATATTCTCAATATTCAAGTGAAAAGCCATGTGCATCAAGTTGTTTCACAAGCTATTACAATAGTAATCAATAATTGATTGGAAAACTGTGTCATATTTTATACTAAGACTAAAGCAGTAGAAGTTGTGGATAATTACATTGGATTAAAGTGGCCAAGTTGCACTGAACTTATGGAGTTTAACATGTTGAAATGAGTCCCTGGCAAGACTGAGTGCAATAACTCTCTTAAAACATATGTTCTGTCAAAATGAGTAAGAAATTTCACTTCCTCCTCTCTTAGTTTATATAGGATGTAAAAGATGTAAAGCTCTGGATACCTTTTGCTTTTGTTGTTTGTGTGCTCACAGATGCTTTACAATTCCATTTTGCTTCACAGGCAATGCCAGCCTACCATAACGGGGTCTATTCCGGTGCTCTCCACCCCTCCAACCCCTTCTATTGTGGTGATCAGCCACCAGGAACACCCCCATACCCGTCCCAAGGGTGCCCTAATCCTGCGACAGTAGGAGTGGGCCAGCACCCTTCTCACCACCAACGTTATCCCGTTCCACACTGCCAGGGGGTAGGGTACTCATCACCGCTTTCTTCTGGGCTGGCAGCTTTGATACAGAACTAAAGTTACATCACAAGAACCAACAGCTGTTATCCTACTTTTGCGTGTCTCCTCTCCTAGGCTCCTGGTTACCCTCCTGCTTCCTACTCTCACTACGGAGATGGAGTTCATTCAGTACCCCAGAGCCATGCGTATCCTGCTCAGCCTGCAGTGCCCTCGAGACCTCCAGCCGAAGCCTGGTCTCACCCAGGGGGCTACGGGCACCCTCCTCACCAACAGTGGCAGCCAGGCCCCCAGCCACCTCCTGGCCACTATGGAAACCCTTTCCTCTCCACACATCACTCACCCTGGCCCAGCCCTGAGCCTGCCACGCCACAGTACGACCCAAAGGTAACTGATGGCGGGCTGTGAGAATTCGAATATTTTTTGGATTGCTTTGCTTGTGTAACTGCAGAGGGAAAACTAAATGTGCCCGGGGAGCTTCTAAAACAAAATCCTGTTTTGTTTCTGTAATTCCTATAAATGTGTAACACATGAAAAACACAACATATATGTAATATGAAGTAGTTCAGGTGGGTAGCTGCGTCAGCATGCGTAGGCTGCAAAGGAACAAGTAATAGGTTTATTCCATGCTGAAAAGAAAGAATACCCAACGTTTCGGCCGTGGAGCCTTCTTCAGGTGTGATACTGTACATATAATGTAGGGACCTTGAGGACAAGTTGATCCAATTTGTAAGTAAGCTATATCTCTTGCATTATTGAAATGTGTTATGGATTTGGTTTATAGAGCATAGACTAGTGCCAGCCTGTATATTCTTTTGTTAATTATTTGCTGAAGAGAAAATAATTCAGGTCTAGAAATAGTGGCTTGGCTTTTGTAAACTCCCATCTGTATAATGAAGTTATTTCTAAGATGATTTTGTTGATCTATACTGTATACCTATTTTGATTTTCACTTGCCAAAGTGTTTTGATCTTTTTCGGGTTTGTGTTGTCACCTGTCCTTTCTTTTTTTTTTTCTTTTTCAAGCAGGACTCTCAGTACTGCGGCTACTCCCACCCAAATCAGCCTCCTCATCCCGGTGGACCCAAGCCCAGGTCACCGAACCCTAACCCCGGACAGGGCGGGGAGTACAGCGCCCCCCCGCAGTTGTACGGCAAGACGGGAACGGCACAGGAGCCTGCCCCGCCTCGAGAGGCGTCTCCGCCGAGCGACAACCCCGGCCTGTCCCGGGTGCAGCAGGTCCTGGCTCGGGTGGGCCTGCTGGAGGAGGACGTCGACGAGTTCGTGGGTCATAAAACGGACAAGAGCTACCGCTGCCTGGAGGAGCTGCTCACCAAAGAGCTGCTGGAGCTCGACTCGGTGGAAACCGGGGGGCAAGATCTCGTCCGGCAGACCAGAAAGGAGGCCGTGCAGAAAGTACAAGGCATTCTCGACCGCCTGGAAAGGAAAGCTTTCTAGAGCCTCCCCATGTTTCTTTTAGAAAGATGCACTCCTCCCATCATCCCAGCATTGGCACAGTGGCCCCACATCCTGGTGATCCCTCCTTTTCCTGTTCCACTGACCCCTGTAACTCTTAAAGGATTCTCCCATGTATATTTTAGATGAGCAATGATATTAATCATTCAGGCCATCCCTGGTCCCAGAGAGTCCAGTTTTCCAGAACCCAGCAGGATTTATGGGTCACCCATGAACCTTCAAATTCCAGACACTTTCAGCAATTTTCCTTTGAGCACCGAACCAGGTGAGTTATTCAGTTAGACCCTTTGTAGATTCTTTGAAATGAAGCCCTCTTAGCCCTTAAGAACCACCAATGTTTGTTTCTGTCTAGAATTGATCCAAACCTCACATGCCTTCCAAGTTTTAAGAAGTGGAGGATTTAGGGGTGACCCGCAGGACTCTGACCCTCCAGAGCTGGTTTTGCCACCCATGATTTCTGAGGTGTCCCAAGAGTCGCTGTATTGCACATTCCATAAAAATTAGATTCACCTAATCTTGCTGGGGTATCTACCAACATGGAAAGGGCTAAAGTACTGTTCTGGGGTCTCTTTTTCCCTGTATCGTTTTTTTTGTCACTGATTTTTTGCATTCATTCTTTTATTTCCACTCAGCTGTTGCAGAGACATTCAGAATTGGAGTAACTAGGAGGTGCTGTTTGGGGAAATAATAGTTTACATATAATCAAATATGGATAACATTTTTTATAAAGTGGATTATTTATAAACATTTATTTTTACAGATATATAATTTATAAGCGTTGTACTTGAAAACGATATCCACCCTCTTCTGGGATTCCCAGAGTACACTAGGTGTTGGTGTATATGGAGCACAAAGTGCGCTAGGTGATCCACTAATGATATGAATTGGCGTCATGTCCTTGTATGAGTAGATTGGCACAAGGCCATTGGACTTTACTGGTTTGTCTTATTTCTTACACTTACATTTTTCCTTGTGAAAATGTGAAGTTCTTCCCCGTCTGTTGTCTGTTTGGTCTGTATCCCAGTACCTGTGATGAAACAAGTTGGTTCGGCTGGGAGGTATTGGGGTCCCCTTCCCCATTGTGAGAGAGCACGGGTAGTGTCCGGCTATGTTGAGGAAGCTGCTGTACAGAGAACTTATACAGCTCTGTAGGAAATAAAACAGCTTGATTGTACTTTTAGGTTTGCATTTATTTTTACAAACATTTGTGTCTATTTTTAAGTGTTTCCAGGGTTGATGTGGGCACCTTAATGTACCTGACTGTTTTCAGTCGCTTTTACTTTTAATATGATGTAATGAGTCTGTTGTTCTCAATTTACACATTATGTGAGTAGTGGGTTTATTTGATAAAACTTTTAGTTTCGTTTTGCGTTCAGAGACATCTGTCGGCACTGATCATGAACATTCTTACCAAAGTATTTCTCATAAAAGTAGATCATTATTAATGATGAAAAGTGTAATGTTTGTGACTTTGAAGTAAACAGCTGTCTATAGTCAGGTTCTTTAAAGATTACCTGTGTTGTAGACCGCTTCTATCCTTGGTTGATTTGGGGAAAAAATAATATTACTAGTCTTACTGGCAAAATACAAAAATCATTCGTGACTTAGCAAATGATATGTTTTGATAGAATTCCCATTGTGTTCATCCCAGCTAGGTTGTTTATTCAGACCGAAAACAGAGAGACCACCCTGCAATTTTCAAACATATTGTTTGAAATCCTTAATCCATCTCTGGGGGAAAATGACTACCACGTAAACATTTTATACATCTTGAAAAGAACTATCCATTCCAGTCACAAATCATTGAAAAAATCATACAGGTCTGAATTAACGATCCAAAAAAATGCATGTTGTTGCATATAATGTCCATATTGTTTGCTGTATGTGTAAGAATTATTTTCGCAATGGCACCTTCTAAAACTGATACTGCATTTTACACAGAACTCTGAGAGCAGTTTTTATTTGAGCAGTGAGTGGAGCCAGAGGAAATGACTGTCCTACACCAGTTCATCTCTGTGTTGTCACTAGTCACAGTGTGGGATACCAGGCTGGAACTTGCCAATATCAGAATACTACCTGATCAATCTTTCAGTCTGACCAAGACCAAGACCTCCATTTGAACATTTTGTGGATGCAAAGCTTGAGAAGATGGAAAACCTGCTTATATTCTGTAACTACCAAATAAATATCCTAGAATCACATTATTATGGGTTCCTAGAGGCACAAAAGTCATTTTTTGTGATTGTAATGTTAGATTTTTGTTTAAGTAATGAAGGATATTTTTTTCTTAGTACTGTAATATTGGCAGGCGTTTTTATCATCTACCAAATCTGTGGAGCTTTGCAAATGAAAGGAGAAAATGTTTCAGTAATCTGATCAAATTTTTGTTTCTGCTTAAAGTTCCTTGACAGTCTGAAGGGAGGATAACTATGTACATATCATCAGTTTCTTTAATAAAAGTTTTCAGTTTGTACACAACAACGTGTTTCCTTTTTATTTCAGCAGCCTCTAACAGCAAGACTCCTAGTCGATTTCTTGTATTTTTACATTCCACAATTTTTATTACTGGTTGTATCATTATTATTTTTTATACAGTAAGGACATGTGGGATCCTGCCTGAACCGATGGAAGATGATCAGGAACCAGTTTGTATAAAATGCTCGTTTCTCAGAATGGGAATGATTATGTAAACCTATTTTTCACCGTAAGTGGGCAGTGTTTGATTCGTCATTACCAAAGTAACCATGAATGACTTTGGAGATGTTATCTGTATCCCTTGACAAGACGGCTGTGTTGCACAGCACATACTGTTGAAATCAACCTGGTTGTCCACATTATTGTACAATCATCTGATTGCTTAATTAGACTTTGTGCAAGAGATTTTAATTTTCAAACTAAATTGCTTATCCTCCGTTATGTGTTGGCCGTGACACATTGTACGTGCTTTCATATTTTTTTTTCTACAAATTTAACGTACCCATAAACTTTTAGGTGTAGTTAGTCCTAATGTACGGTTGTATACACCTGCGAATAATTGAATTTCAATAATTTTTCTTTGATGCCAAAGAAGCGTAAATCTCTGATGTTCTGTATTATTTACAAAAGGGGGGGCACGATTGTCGAATCTTTTGGGTCCGTCGACATATTAGATGATAAGACGTTTAAAGTTGCGTGTTCTTACCACTGTGAGGTCTGGAGAGCTGCGGAGGACTGTCAGCCTAGTGAAAATCTCACCGTGCAAACCTGTGGTCAAGGACGATATTGAGCCGGACAGGTCGGACTAGAAAAGACCCAGACTGGCGCGTTCGCGTTGCAATGGGATTGTTCGGGGGGGACTTTACTGAAAAGGCTTGCTTTTCCCCAGAGACTGTCTCTGAATACATTTTTGATTGACAGTTAAACTGGCTTTTTAAATGTTCTCCACAATCTCAACAATTACACCTGACCAGCGTCCATGTGACCGTATTAGCAAAACAAAAGAAGCTACTGAGGTTTTCCTCTTCTTGTTGGAGAGGGACGTTGTGTGTAGACGCGTAAAATAATAATAATAAAAAATGCATTTCAACTGTTTTCTCAAAACGTGGTTTATTGGTTTACATCGACACAAAAATAGCAGAAGGGCATTAAATCGACAGACGTTTTATTGTCAAAGTCGTATCTAATAAGCTGTATCTATTGAATCCCCAGTTTCTATTGAACAAACACAGTATGAGATCCCATTTGTGATTTTCTTTAAGTGGGATCACCATTATTAAATAATAACAAAATAATTTCGCAAGAGGTACATACCCTTCGTCTAGATTTATTTTGTGACGATTATAACATTCCGTTGGTGATTGTTTTGCGGGGTGGCAGAGGGGGGGTGGTGACTGGGGTAAGGGCAGTGGGGAGGGTGATTGATACAAATTGAGTGAGGTTCCTCTGATATAAACAAACTCATCATCCGTCGTGCCGACTGCTTAAAATAGACTGCTGGATGTCAAAAGCAAAAAACATGGCTTCTGGTAGCCTGCTGGAATATTCGTTACAGGGCTGAGAGACGTCGAGATACTCAAAGCAACAGAGAAAAGGTAGGCTTACTGTAAATCCATACTGGATTCGTCGATTTTCACATTTTACGAATAAGAGACTGAAGAAGGAACGCAGCGCACTACGAAACCAACACGCTGATTTTTTTTCTACAGATAAATCCAGGGATTTTTGTTTCTTTATTCGTGTTTTTTTCCCCCAGAATTAAAATACATGTAAAAATAGTGATAGCAGGTAGGGAGGAAAACTGTTTACACTTTTTTATTTCTACACTTATTTTTGCTGGTTGATTTCTGCAGGAAACCGTCCGTATTTTAATTTATGACTTACCTGTTAAAGGACTACTACAGTATGTCTGCATGCATGTTGCTTACAGCAACTTTCTGTTTAGGTTTGAAGCTCGGCTCTAGCTAAAGGATCTATGCAAAAGTAATGTTTAAAAATAAGCAACAATGTGCAAAATGTTTGTGGTCCGCAATGTTGTAGTATTTTAAAATTTTGATTCGAAACACTTGTGGAACTGCTGGTTGTTGGCAAAACAATTGCAAATACAATAGGTTACCTTACATATTAATAAGTGAAAGTGATTGCTTTTTATATTTCGTTGTAGAAAATGTGCACACAAACTGCGGATTAAAGAATATAATCAGGACAATAAGAAACTACTGCATGTACCAGTATCAGGAAGAATATTTATTCATCTATTCAATATCTAATGCTTAGCCCCGACAATTAAAAATATGAACAGGTCTGTATGTAGTATATTCATTTAACCCAAGATGATAAAATGAGAATGATACCGTTTATGGCGATGGGAGATGACTAAAATGTTGTTTTTAATCTCAGCAGACAGTAATGTTCGCTGTATCCAGGGCCTCCAATGGCGTTCATGTCGAGATTCTCTCGGAGCAGCTCCAGGTCTCCGAATAGGAAGGACTCCGAGCGCAGCTCTCCTGTCCTGTCTGTGTACGAGCTGGAGCGGCTGTTGTACACGGGGAAGACCGCTTGCAACCACGCGGACGAAGTGTGGCCTGGCCTCTACATAGGCGACCAGTGAGTTGCGCTGCCAGTCTTTGCTGCTCCATATTCTGCATGTTGTCCTTGTGCTTGGTTTGTAACCTTCCTAGGATCAGACTAAGCTTCTTTACCGGAGCGCTCCATATTGGCTGACAATGTTCTTTGATTTTTCTTGAAATGCAATAAAAAGGTAATAATATTTTGTTAATGGAAAGGGTCAAGGTTTATTACATGCTAAAAAGACAGTCACTACCATATTTTGGTTGCGATTTCATTCTGTTAACCTGTGACTTCTGCCTATTCTTTCAAGGTGGAGCAAATCTCCTCTGCTAACACTACTCCTGCTCCTCTTACTGCAGATGGTAGTGGTAGAAGCAGTGATATTAATGTTTGTACACTTGTTGCTGTTATTTTCAGGATGGTTGCAACAAGTAAAACCCTTCACCCCATTTGAATAGATATACTGTATAACTTCTGTGATGTCATGTTGCTTACAAATATTTTATGCATCTTGTGCTCAACAGCATGTGAGTATTTCAGATCTTTTGAAACTTTGCTACATTTGCTATAGACTGCGCGTTTGAAAACGTGTTTTTTAAGGACAAATAATGATGCTGACGATGAGTGGAACAGTGGGGCAGTGGTAAGCATTGCTGCCTTGCAGAGCTGGGGCCCTGGGTTCCATTCTGGACCTGGGGCACTATCTGCGTAGAGTTTCTGTGCTCTCCCCACCTTCGTGTAGGCTTAGTTGCTTTCTGGAAAACTGGCCCTAGAGTGAGTGTGCATGTCTGGGTCCGTGTCCTATGATGCACTGGTGTCACATCCAGCTTGCATCTGTCACGCCCTGTACTCCCAGAGGGCACTCTGCTTCTGTCCTGTTCCTAGTTCCCTGTGATTATTCATGTCTTTCTGGTGTGTCTTGCTGCGTAGCCTATTTACTTCTTGTGTCTGCTCTGATCCTCGCTCAGCATTGAGGGTCCAGATGTCATGAGACTCGCCTAGTACCAGGTCGCCCCACATCCACGGCCTGAGGGCATAGGTTTCTATACCAACATCGTCAGACCCCCCGAGCCTGGGATAACCTCTGTTTTACCCCTTTTGACGCTACACTTAGGGTCTTTATTGCTCTCCTGGCCATTCCAAGGCATGCCCTCCCGACATCCATGACAGCATTCCTGCCTTGAGTCTCTTGCTTGCAGGGATAGGTCCTGGCTCCCCTGCGACCCTGTAGTGAAAGAAGTGTTAGAAAATGGCTGGATGGGTGGATGATGACAATGATGATAAACATGGATTTTGCAGGGATATAGCTGCTGACCGGCGTGAGTTGACAAAGCTCGGGATCACCCACATCCTGAACTGTGCCCATAGCAAGTGGCGAGGCGGGGCGGAACACTACCAGGGCATGAACATCACCTACCAGGGTATAGAGGCCCATGACTCGCCTACCTTTGATATGAGTGTCAACTTCTACCCTGCTGCAGAGTTCATCCACAAGGCACTGAGCAGTGGAGGTAAGTCTCTCAGGGATCAGGCTGTGACCATATTCAATATTCTTTGATAAGGTTATTTTTAAATTTTAATAAGCAATTGCAGTACAGGAGGAATTCATTCATTTTTACAACACATTTGCTTTAACTGCATAGTACTGCATGATGGAAGTCCAGGTTTGAGCTTTTCAGTTTACTTCTGTTTTGTTGCGGACCTGCAGGGAAAATTCTGGTTCACTGTGCTGTAGGGGTCAGTCGCTCAGCCACCTTGGTGCTGGCTTACCTCATGATCCGCCAGAACATGACCCTCGTCGAAGCCATCAAGACCGTCAAGGACCACCGTGGCATCATACCCAACCGCGGCTTCCTCCGTCAGCTCAACGGCCTCGATGGCATTTTGAGAGACAGCCGGAAAACCTAAGAAGGCTCCGGTACAGTCAATGGCTAAAAAATACTATCTTGAGAAAATCGCGCCATCGCTCTGTACCCTTATGAAAGTGTATTGTGGTGTATCATGGAAGAAAGACAGATCATATTCATTCATAGTTAGAAAAGCACAGTAAATCATGGTAGGAGCGCAGTAAATCCAGAAAAAAGCTGAAAATACTTTGAAAATCTGCCTATGTACATTTTCCTAAGGGTATTTATTTGACTTTTTTGTTTTGCTTAGTAAGAAAGAGATCTTAAAAAACCCTGAAACTCGTTATTGCACAGGTGGGATCTGGAGAGTCATTAATAGTGCACATTTTTCTATTTCCTCCTATTTGGCCAGCACTTCTTGGGATTGACTACCTTCCACTGAGGGCAGTGATCAAGGTCAGCAGGATATCCAGTTAGCTGTGTCTATTGTTAGTGTAAGTGTTGCTTTAAGCTCCTTGATATCAACATGGAGTTTTCTGTTAACCACTGCAGAACAAAATAAAGAAACAAACAGCCGCAGACATTTAAATTCATGCCTTCTTTGGAGCCATAGGAAATTGTTATAAAAAGTAGAAAGATTGTGTTCTTAATCCCCCCTTTCCTGGTGCTTAGGTAGCCGAAAACCTTTGCTCTAGTGCACAATTTGCTCCATTTAAAAAAACAAGTGAAAAGCCTGACATTGACCTGGATGACCAATGATGATCCTCCATTTCCCAGATCTCTATAGATATGTAATAAGGTCAGGACTCAGTCAAACTGTAGCTACTGCTACTGCATCCATTTAAGCAGTATCCTGAGATCTCAGTGTCAGGAAAGTGTGATGGAATAAGATTTTCTTGTTTGCTATGTACTGTCCTTGTGGTGCTGATGCCGTGCTTGAATGTTCTCTGCAGGGATTTGGGTTTTATTGGATGTGTCCTTACTTACAGTAACACTGGAAAATAGTAAAAGAAGGTAAACTTCTCGAACATCTTGAACATGAGCATTTCAAATGAAATGCAAGATTTTAAAGACACATCTCAAGTATCCTGCCTATCGTGGGAAAGACCCTTTCCTAAATTCATACTCTTCACTTTTTATTTTTCCAAGACGTCAGGATAATATTTTGTAGCACAGAGCTGTGGGAAACCTGTCTTAAAGGAAAGGCAGCTCTTTCAATGTAGCAATTTGTAGTTAGATGGTTAGCTTTAGCAGCTAAACCAGTGATTGTACTTGTTGTTAAGTGAAGTATAGAATAATTAACTTTAGCATTGTACTTAGAGTCTGAACCAACCTTGTATTTAGGAGTGAGATGCAGTGAAGGGAATTGTGCAGTATCCAGGTAGAAAACAGTGGTGTAGGTTAGAGTAGCCTATCAATGTGACTTGTTTGCTGTGTCTGGTGCTATAGTCACTTGGCCTTTGATGTAATTTGTGTTTCTTTAAGTTTCAGGTGTACAATGTTATGGGAGTGTTCCTTCAATTCTAAGGACAGAAAAAAAAACATTCTGTCAATATATTGTTCCCTGATTTCTAGACTTTGATCACTCCAAAGTGTCTTTTCAATGACTCAGCTCCCTGGCCGTTTTCAACAGGGAGGGAAGGTTTGGTGTAATTTGTGTTATAACAACTTGCAATGTCCCAGGTGCTTGCAGGATTGCGGTGAGGGATACACCACCCCTTCACTTGGTGCAGAACCTGTCTGGGATGCCGCAACCTTTAACACATTCAAAAGTGAGCGGTTTGAAGCCAGGTGTCTGACGAGCGTCACTGCCTACACTTCCGCATTCTGCCCCACGTATTGTTGCTGGGTTTGTCCAGGAGCCGAGATTTGAAAAAAACACACACAAATGGCTTTTCTCAAATGGGTGGGTTTATCATAAAAATAATTGGTGCTTGCATGTTTTCAGAAGGCATATGTGGGAGAAACATTGCAATGGTGAAACCAGGAGCTTTCTAAGACCTTCCCAGAGGCCAGCCAGTCATCCGTCCTCAAGAAGGCCACTTATTCCTGGTAAGGATTACAGCACTCTGGAGCCTGTCCTAAATGCACAGGGTGCAGAGGGAAATATCAAACCATTGCAGGGCAGGCACACTTTGTTTAGAGCCAAGAATTAATTAAATCCAGAATAAGCTTGGAAGGTGAGAAGAAATCAGAGGTCCCAAAGAAAACCTGTAAAAACATGGGGAGAAGATACAAACTCCACAAGGAGGGCTTCCTAGGAACTCAGTCCAAAACCCAAGAGCGGTGAGGCAGCAGCACTAGCTGCTACACCATCATGACATCCCCCTTTCCAGATCCCTCATTAGTGGCTAGGTTAATGCTGTCTCTATTGTTATATTCTACCAGGAATTCCCAGGCTCCTTGGAGGCCATGTATTACAAGTGTTCTAATTAAAAAACACTGGTACCATGGAGGATTAATAGGATGTGCAAAATGCCCTTTCATTATCTGGGAGAGCGTCACAAGATTTTCTATTTTTAAAATTCCAGATCTGTGAGTTTAAACTTTCCTGCTTAAACTTAACTCAGACACAATCTTGATTCACTAATGGAATGAAGCTCCTGTTTGGAAAGAGGAAACCAAGGTTTGATTTAGCAGATTGCATTGAAAATGCTGAGAAATTTACTGTACATTTTGCCCATAAAGCCCTAAGTACAGTATTCAGCACTTTTTCTGGGCCACAATTAGAAGTATGCCTGATAAAAAATATTGGCATAGCCTGCAATTTAGGATACTAAGCTGTAACCTTCACAACATCCAACACAGCTCATCTGGTGTCAGACAAAAATATTAAATGTGTACAGTAATTTTAATTCTGAAACATACCGGAGAAATGGGGTAGGTTGCTTTTGTATCTTTCTGTGTGTGTGTATGTGTGTGTGTTTTTTAAAAAAACCTCACTCCTGCCACTTTTTTATACTAAGGGAAGCCACAGTCACTGTTTTCATAAAACTTCAAATCCTTCCAATTCTAAGGACTATGTACACGCCGTTGCCTTCTGCAATCTGGACAAAAGTTCTGGAACCAGCAGATAAAATCCAGAAATAATTTGTGCATCTTTATTTCTTTTGGTTTCTCTAAATGTAAGTATATTGTAATTATTTTTATCCAGCACTGTGAGAGAAAAAAAATCATTTATATCCAATAGGAATGTTAGTTTCAGGACAGGATCAGGTTTTTTGCTAGTTATTCTTTTTAAGGTACTGTACTTTCATGTAAGTACATTGAAGTTACAAGAAACATCCTTCGGGGAGTAATTTGCTAGTCTTGCGTTGAATGTTACTCACTAGTGCGAAACAGAATGTGTTTACTGTTAATGATACCCATATCAACTGACTGACTTTTCTGTGTTGGCAAACCATCTGTGGTGGAAAGAAAAGATTGTCAGGCTGTTGCCTTCAGAAGTCTGTAAGAACTAGCTGAGAGTTATAATGTACTTTACCACCTCTCCTTTAAATGCATTAGTCAGTAAAAAATGTCCAGACGCAGAAATCCCACATAATGTAGGCTGATGTGGTGAACACACAAAGCACATTGTGCAACAGCAGTCATGTGAAGGAGAGGTTCCTCACTAGAAAAGCAATGAGAGAGCGGTGTATGGCTGGTGGGGCATGATAAATGGTGCTTTGACATTTGTGTGTCCAGTCTGCCTTTGAAGAAATATTTACATCAGACCACATGAAACCCTCCCTGAAATCACATGTGACATACAATAACTGGAACTCTACATTACTTCCTATTCTTTTCAGAATATGATACGTATTCAATTCACTTGTGTTTTTCAAATATACTATGAGCCTTTACATTTGGGAAATGCATTGCGTTCTGTACCTTCAGTATATGAATTGCATACTGGAATTACATGCATATATTAGGATTCTCTTATCAATATGATAAATAGCATTTATAATTTATATTGTATGTGAATTCTGTATTTTTTCTGTTTGAGGATTGGCACACAAAGTGAAGAGAGAGCCTTTGTACCTTGAGGGTTAAGAAATATTAATAGAAGAAAAGTGGAAATGAAAATTCGGGTTATTTGACATAGGAGGTCTTAAGTTATTAAAACTGACAAACAAGCAGCAAGCTGCCATTCATTTACAGAAGACCAAAGGCCAAAAGTTTATTTTCAGGCCCTCTAATATGTTCTTTATTCTAATAGCCTTAAGCATACAAGGAACTATGGAAAGGTCCCGTGGATACAGATGTCTGATTTGTGATTAGGACAGTTGTGGTTTCTGTACACTCAGTACAGAAACTGGACTAAAGGACTGCGGGAGCAGTCTGACATCAAGTAAAACTTTAGTTCTGCCTCACAAAATCTGCTCAAGAGGAGAAGAAACTCCGTTTGCATTTGAAATGTTTGTTATTTGGCAAGCAATTAAGGTTCCGTAATTTTAGATAAATTGCAATGAATTGACCAATTTACAGTATGTTATTCTACTATAGCAGCAGCACTGAAACACAGGTCCCACAACATTGCTGTTACTGTAGCCTGTAACTCTCCCCCTCCTGTGTCTCCAATTTTGAAAACAGACATGCTGCATCTCTGACTACTTCTGAAGAACCTTCAGCCATGTCCAGATAGTAATTTGAATTCTACATATTTCTACATTTTTACTTTCTTTTTAAAAACAAAACAAAAACCTTTCTATACAAATACTTGAATTATTTATATTGATCATGGTATCCTTTTTATATCTCCAGACTCCTTAGAAATGTGGGATGGAGGTCATATGCCTTAAGTACATTCATGTATTTAGCAATTTCAAGTGTGACTCCTGCTCAGACTGAATTCTTTGTTACCTTTGGTGTATTTGTTTCCTGTTGCTTTTCAATGCTTTTTCTAAATCAGTGAACAAATAAAACTGTGTATCAAATAAATGTGTAGATTCAGCAATGACTTGCCAGCTTTTTTTGTTGCCTGACAAATGTGGTTTTCATTATAATGATCTTATACGGAACCTCCATTGTGCTGAACAGCAACAATTCAGGATTTTCCTATCACTTCTCCCCTCTATCAATTATGTCCTTGCCTTAGTTTCACAAGGATAGGGCTGAATAAAGAGCAATAAATTAAACTACACTATTAGCAATGAAAGATGAAGGAGTAAGAAAGTCATGGAAGACCCATGAGTATTATGTTTTTGCAGAACTTTGTAGTCTCTTCTTATCATGAATATGGTAATTCTCATTTCAGTTTCCACTGCAGCTTATTTTTATATGTATTCGTAACATCTAGTACTACTGCCACAAATGTCTTCAAATAAATATGATTAAGATTTAAGTCCCCAGTTCAGCAGGATTAGAATCTGAGTTATTTAGCGGCGGTCAATTAAGCAGGTGGTATATTCAATAAAACAAGAAATCATCCATCTATTTTCTGACCACTTTATCCAATACAGGGTTATGGAGGATCTGGGGCCTATTCTGGCAAGAAATGGGCACAAGGCAGGATTCACCTTGGACAGGAGGCCTATCCATCATGGTGCCCACAGGCACACACACTCACATCAGGGCCAGCTTTCACAGAAGCCAATTCTACCAGTATGTCTTTAGACTCTGGGAGGAAACCGGAGCACCTGGTGGAATGCCATCCAAACTTGGAGAGAACATGCAAACTCCATGCAGATGCTGTGAGGCAGCAATGCTAATCACTGTGACACCATGCTTCACATCATGTATATCAAAAATACCCTCCAGCCCTCAAGAACCTGTTTTTTTTTTTATTGACCATATTACTTGCTTCAATAGTCTATACAAAAATACATGTTCCTAATCTTTAAAAACAAATGATTTTGGATGTCATGGCTCAATTCGACTTTGGGCCCTACATAAATCTCCCTTATTTTGACATGCGAAGAAGCTTCTCATGTTGTGTGATCAGCTGTGAAGTGGAGTTTATAGATCTTGTGTGTCTCCTACGTGGAAGCTGCACTTCACTGGTAGATAATGTTAGTCACTTCATACACTGCATGTGAAGCCTTTTCTGAGACAGAAAGCACACTACAAATAAGATAATTTATTATAGTATTCAATATTATTTGACAAAAAAATTAACTTGCACATACTGTACCATGTAGATAGAATCAATGTGGAAACAATCGTATAAAATCAGTCTCACACCTTTGACTATCCATACAAAAAACTGCAATACATTCCTGAAAATAACTAGGTTTATGTTTTTTTTCATAGCTACATCAATGCCTTACTATGTTATAATTAACCAGCCATTCGAATACTTTCATTCTTTGTAACACAATGCTATACATTTATTAGGTGGATTATTTTCAGTTTGCTTAACTTATTTACCATCACATGCCACCTTCCATTTGCTAGTGAAAAGAAATGATCAACGGAAACTTTACTAAAATCGATCTGGTAAAAATGTAGTACGGCGTAGTTAAGTTGTATGGCGTACTGTACGTCCTTTGCAATTCATTTTAAGTTGACGCCATGAAATGTTTATATTATAATCACTGGCAGATTTTAAAAAATGCAATGTATGTATACGGTATACACGCAATGAAGTTTCAAATATCAAAGCCAACAGGACAATGTCGGCCTTAGTGACTTCACTGAACAAAACATTCGCTATGCAGAAGTACCTAATATCTACTTCTTTCCGTAAAAAGAGAAAAGGATCTTATTTAGCATTACTTCTCAATCATATTTGTCAGCCTTATTGTTTTCCGTGACAGAGCTGAAGGACAAAACGGAACAGAAAGCAAAAGCAGAAACGGAAGCTGATACCGAGGATATTCCCGAGTTCACGTCACCCGCACACGGGTTCACGTGCCTCGGCTGTGCTTCGAACCGCTCCACTTTGCTTTATGGAGAGAGTAACTGCAGACTCTGATTTTAATACCTCGCGTTTCAACATTTTAACAAGGCATTTGAAACGAAGGAGGTAAAAAGAAATGCGCGGTCTCTATGTGCTTCTGTTCCTGACAGTCGGCTATGTGTGTGACGCCCTACCGGCCGCGTACCTCAAAGATCCTGTCAACGACAGACCGATTATCGGTAGGTACCGGTCTATCAGTGCTGCAGTGTAAGAATGTGGTTTATACACAGTATTGTTTTTCGCGATTAATGAATATTGAATAAGGCCAAAACAGCTACAATAAACCTAAATGTAATAATACCGTTTCATTATTAAAAGTGTTATTGGAATGCAGAAATGTTAAGTTAATTTTCTTTTAATTTGATTTTAGGAGAAAATACGTTTTAATGTATTTAATGTATGCATGGGAGGTTTCAAACTTTGCAGACTGCATTGATTATGTTTTGACATACTAATTACGATGTCTTCGACTTTTTTGTATTTTTCAAACAGGACAGATATGCAGCCCATTTTCTTTCAAAGATTCTTGACTTGTCAACTTTCTGAAAATTCCTTAAACCCCAGTATCTCACTCATGCTTGCTGACAAATTTACAAGTGCAGGTGGTTTCATTTAAGGAAATGTATTCACACTCCATAACTGATTTAAATTGGATTTAAATTCAGTTGGATGTTAAACTGTTTCCAAGTTCATTAAACAGACAACAAAACAAAGCATAAAGAAATCGTTCATGGGAACACAGAACATTTTAATAAAATAAGAGACATAAAAATCACATTTATTCTGTTTCCTCGTTTACTTTAGTTGTTCATTATCCAAGTAACTGTTACAGTATATCTTGTTCTGGAAAATGCTACGGCCCTCACATCACTCTGCAGTTCAACCTGTTTGCCCGCAAGGCCTGTAAGTTAAGAAACTAGTTTACACAAGTGGGTTTGTGTCACAGTAGTTAACACAATGTTGTAACTTTTTTTCTAAAGAAAAAAAACTTTTACAGTTTTATCGGTAAATACCGATTGGTAGGCAGTTGAGTCTGTGAAACCATAAAACAAACAATATTACAACAACAGGCTGGAATGGCAATTCAGCATTTGAAAACTGCTTTGAGGGAGTGTGTATGTGAGAAAAGACATAGTACAATAAGAACAAGAGGAACAGTTGTTAGATGTTTCTGAGAATCAAAACTGTGATGAGGGTAATGAAATGCTCCTCCCAGCCCCATCCAAAGAAAAATAGAAAACATTAGGATATCGAGGTGCTCAAATGAGGGTTTATAACCACATTCCATGGTCTTCCTGTCTCATTAGGCATTTTGACCCAGGAAGTAGTAGACGATGAAATGAAGCCCTATGGAAAGACATATATCCCCGCATCGTATGTGAAATACCTGGAGTCTGCTGGGAGCAGAGTGATGCCTGTCAGGTAAAACGATACTCTCCAGTAATGTGTAGGCTGTGAGGACTCTACTTGTGTACTACAGAATGTGTTATGTACATTACAAGCATTAATAAAATTGGATTTGAATTGGATTCGGAGTGTGTCAGTGACGTTGTTTTTTTCTCTATTTTTTATTTAGATTGAATCTGACATTTGCTGACTATGAAAAGATCTTCAATTCAATAAATGGGTATGTGTATAGAAATTTCTTGAGACGTACAATACCTGAAAGGCAGGTGATAACACTAATAAACTGAACAGACTAATAATAAACAACACACTTGTCTTGTTCTTTCATTCAGTTCTACATATGAATATGCTGTTAAGTGGTATACAAGCCTGTTCGTGTTTGATTTTCATAATAGAAAGTCTATTTTTTTTTAATTCAACTTAACCAATTGACCTGGTTAAGTTACTAAATCAGTAATGTTACTGACAGAAGCAAGAGGGAACACAAAGAGACAAAAAAAATGTATGTTGCTGAGAACAGCATTTTCTGGCAGGCTGTCCCTTTTGGTTTACTTATTCCTGGCAACAGGCGATTGTTTTATGACAAATGCAGAATCGCCAATTATGTCGGCAATTACTCCTGCATGTACTCATGCAATTTGGAACAGCTAATTGTGTCCTTATATTAATCCCCATATCAACAATTAAGTGGAGACATGTTACTCTGACCTGCTCCTACATTGAGCCGTGCATCTCTTGATAAATATTATAAGCTCCCCAGTGATACAGAGGTGGTGCAGTGCTGTTTGGAGGAGAGGCACATTCTTCTTGAACTTCTCTAACTGCGAGCCTGCAGATGCCCATCACAGATCACAGGGGTCTCTGTTTCACTATGACCCGAGAAAGCCCTGGCTGATTAACGCTAGCCCCACCCCCTCTTACTGTACCTACTTCCCTTATTATCCCACATGGGAACTCTGCTTTGCAGGCAGGTTCAAGCCATAACACATTACCTCACACATTAAACACAATATGAAACCATTAACAAGTAAGTAACATGCATGCATAAGATAAAAAAATACATAGCAGCTTTTGGCACTGATCAGGTCATCGGTGTGTGAAATAGATACCTACACTACATGCATGATAAAAAATAAATACAGTAAAATGTATCAATCAGTTGAAAAATTAAGCAGGTTAGTAGCTATTGGAATAAAGGATAACTTGGTTCAATTGCACTGAAATCTACTGTAGGTGGTCTAAATTGATGCCCTGAGGCTTCCTTGAGCTCAGAGTCACTGTGCAAGAGGTGGTCCTGACAGTTAACAATTATATTAGCCTTCAGTGTTGAGCCAATCATGTGCTGCTGTGTGGAGAATCCAAGTCACAACCAGCTTGTGAAATAGGTAAAAAACGTAGTGAATCGTTTGGCTCCCACAACGTTGTACTGCTGGCGAGTTAATAAAATTGTGTGATATTTAAGACGCCTCATGAGTTTCATCAGATCCTTTGGGGGTTTTAAAACTAAGAGAAATGCAAAAAACATTTGGTGGTGTGTGCTTATTGTAAACTGTGGCGACAAATCTTCTTCCTCTCATACAGGATGCTGTTTATTGGGGGTGCTGTTGATTTAGAGACCTCAGATTTTGCAAAAGCTGCTATCATTTTTTACCAGCTGGCTCTAAAGGTAAGCAGATCTGTTGCATATCAGAATGAGGGTTTTCAATATGAGAACGCACATGCTTTCATCACTGTCCCCCTCCATCTCACACAAGGAAAGTCCTGAGATACACCTTTCATTTTGCCTTGAGGGTTTGTTGTGAAACCATTGAGTTTTGCATTTCTTCACATTTGTTATTTTGGTGCAGCACAAACTCTTATCAAGTCAGTGGTTTCCAGTCCTGCTCTTAGTGACCTCCACACCTGCTGGTTTTTGTTCCAGCCAAGCCTTCAGTTACACAATCAAACCCTTCATTGACTTAATCATATTAAGATTCATTTAACTGTTTGTTCCCAGCTCATAAACATGTTGGCGCTTCAACCAATGTGTGGTATAAATTAAATAAAATCCCAAACTTGTGACTAGAAACACAATGCAAATACTAAATTGAAGCAACTTCTTAGATCAAGTAGGTCTTCAGTTATCCGATGAAGGCGGGCTGGAATGAAAATCAGCAGGTGTGTGGACCAGGAGCAGGACTGGGAACAACAGGATCTAGTTTTGCCTTTTGTTTGGTACCTAAATGGCAAATGAATGTGGTTGCACAGTATGGCCTTTATGTAAAATCCGCTTCCCGGTGTTTGGTGGTTATTATTTTATCTCTAAGAACAACAACTTTGTCGTTTTATAAATAAAAACACTCTACTTACAATACAGTATAGTGTAAGAGAATTCCTCTATTAATTTAGCTCAAATATGATTTTACTATTTGCAAGGACCTTGTTTAACTGACCTTTTAATTCTAGAAGCTGTTTTCTCTGTCCTGTCCAGGCCTATGACTCAGGAGACTATTTTCCCATGTGGGGGACATGTCTGGGGCACCAGCTACTGACTGTGTTAGTAGCCAAAGAGAACCTCCTAACCAAGACGCCTGCAGAAAACCTGGCTTTGCCTCTCAACCTGACAACCGGTATGCAGATCAAAGGACTAGACTTGCTGGACTTTCTTATTCTTTACAATTACGCTGTACTCTTTTTCACTTTCACATTAAGCATGACCTTTCATACAACTGATTGCTGTGCCCTTGCATCTTGTTTAACAATCAGTTTTGGCTATCTGTTTTTTAAAAGTTTTTTTTATTTTTAAAGGAGATACTCTTTGTGACCTAAACAGAAGATCATTCACTCTCCTTCCTCTTCACTCCTGTGAAAGGGGATTTACTACAAAATTACAACAAAAATATGCACGTTACTGTAGTTGCAAAATCATAAAAAATTGCAAAATAAGTTAAACTAATAGATGTGTAGCTTTTCTTTTTAGATTTACTCTCTAAACCCATTAGCTTATATCTGTTCACTTCAGGTGCATATAAAGTGTATGTAATGGCCAGTTCACTGAAAATGTGTTCTTTTGTTAAATGAATGTTGTACCTCTCCTGCAGTAACACAGAGTGCTTTACTTGTGTGATATCCTGATTTTGTTTTCTGGTGTAATGGAAACTCAATGACAGGAAAATTGACATGACCAGCTGTTGAATCTTAGAATCTGTCAGAATCATGAACTGATTTTTGAGAATGAAGAACATTTCACAGGGATGGCACATAAAGAGCTCTAAGTAGAAAGCCTATATTATGGTAAAATCATTTAATGAGTTTTTTTCTTAGAACATACAACTTATCTGTCATCCCTGTATTTCATGAAAAAAAGAGACAAAAATACTGCATTCTGCCATGAGATGGTGCCACATGTACCAGTTCGTCTCTCGAGCAAGCCTACACTGTTGTTTTTTTTCCAGACAGTGCTAAACTGCCTTATCAAGTGAGGCATTGAGTGACCTTACTGCCAATGCATCTGCGCAGGTCTGAAAAGTCACAGAGGTGTTAAAAAAGGTGTTAAAAATTTTGCAGGAACGGCCTGCTTTGAACTCCTACTCTGTTATCTGAAAAAATAAAATGAGGAAATGTGCACACATTGGGGATTTTATATTTAGAGATAGCATAAACCTCCTCACAGCAGTTAGCTGGCACACAACAAGCTTGCTTCCTGAAAATGACTGAATGATAAATTAGTTCAGCAGGGTTTTCAGTAAGGGGATAGGTGTGCCTTGACATAGCTAAATATATAAAGCCTATTGCTGCATTATAGTTTTTTCCAAGATCTATAAAAAACTATATTTTCAATTTTCTATTTTGAATGTGTTGTACCTCTCTTGTCTTATCTTATAATGTGCTTTGGCTGTAAGTACCGAATGAAACTCTGTATCACCAGCCTACTTTAGCTGAAAGAAATCTGTTGCCAATCAGTTTAATTATCTCATTTTCTTTTTTCTTCCTCTTCAGCCGCAAAATCCAGCCGTGTGTTTGAGAATTTTCCACATGAAACTTTGAAGGCTTTGACCCAGGAGCCACTGACTGGAAATTTCCATCACTATGGCGTGACTTTTGAGGTTAATGTCCAAGGATTGGGTAGTGTTTTGCCAGAGAGGACGAGACACTCAGAGGGAATCTGCTTCAGTTTAAACTTAAACAATGCTGTGCTAATTCTCACAGTCAAAACTGAAAGAAACATAGTGTTGCTGATGAATATATCCCCACTGTCTCTTTCTTTTTGATCACTGACCTTTGAGTTGTGTTGCACATTGTGCAGATAGTAAATCAAATTTTGAAGATGAGAAGTTCATCTATTATTAAGTGTGTATTGAAGCTGATCTTGGAGAGCTGTGTGTCCTCATTTTATGGTTTTGTTTTCACAGACATTCAAAGGCAATGAAAAATTGGAACAATTCTTTTCCATCCTGTCCACAAACATAGCAGAAAATGGCGTGAAGTTCGTTTCCACAATGGAAGGTACAGTAATTTCGTGAAGTGCTTATGCAGTTCTGTTTCTCTGTGAGCTGTTATGATGTTGAAGTTAATGCTAGAAGAAAGAATAATACAGTATAAGTATATATTGTATAATAATTCCAAGAAAATCATTATAATGTTTTGTTTAAACACAGAAAAAAATGAAACTGTAATTTGAGTTTTGTAAAAATATTGTGACACAATAAACAAGACTTGATCTTGAATTTTCAAGACAAGAATGTGAATAGAGAAGTCAAGTCAACTTTGCTCACAATCTATAAAGTCATGAAAAACGCTTACACCTTTCTTGCTATTATATAGCAATCTCCCTTTTCTCCCCAAGTAGACATAAATGCCAGTAAAATGAAGGAGCAGTAACACACTGTAATGAAAGGGAAAAACAATATTTTACAAATGTGTTGATGAAATACGTACTGAAGACATGACCTGATTTCTGAACATGTCATTGCATTGAAGCAAGGCAGAACTTTTGGCTATTCTGAAATGTATAATAATGTCATAATGGCTGGTACCCTATGGTTCTCTTTCACACTGTTGGGCTGTGATTCAGTTGTCATGATCTCTTCCCATGCTACTAGATAGGGTTTGGCGCCTTCAATACATACATTACCTAAACCGTTGGAGACATTTTTCCACTTCCCCTTAAAAGATAGTCAGGAGTCTGTTAAAAGACATATTTATTTCATGCACATGAGAGTGAAACACACAGAGTTGCTCTGTGTATTTTTCTCCAAGTGATTAAATTAGAACTGTCCTTAAATATACTTTTCTGTTCTCTACCACGCTTCCCTCTGCTTATTAGATTGACAGCATTCCAAGATCACGCTCTTGAAATCCTCTTCCCTATTTGCCAAAGATAACTTCTTTTAACACAACTGGTTACTTAGTTTCGTAGCATGCGTTTCTATATGACTCGATATAGAATTACATACAGTAGTAGCCCTTGTGTGGAGCATTCTTCATTCAAGTTCAAACCAGCTCCGGATGTCCACCTTATAAAGTACTGCAGCGTCAGCAGAAAATGTACAAAGTCCACAGAGACCCTCTCAACATAACGTAACTAATTTTTTTCTTTAACAATCCTCTACTTAGGAAAGAAATATCCATTTTATGGAGTCCAGTGGCACCCAGAGGTCAATCGGTTCGAATGGGACCCAAAGGTGCAATATCCACATTCAAGGAATGCAGTTCGAGTGTCGTCTTTACTGGCAGAGTTCTTTGTCAATGAAGGTAATTTGGGTTACATACAAGGAGATTTAAGCACTATCGGAGAACATATAGAGATCTTTGTATTATAAAACATTTGCATATTGTCGTACATGCAAACATAATACAGTATAAAGGCACAACTGCACAGATGAATCAAAAGTATTTACTAGTGTTTTCGTTGATTATAAAATATAACGATATTGTTTTAAACTTTGTTTTAAAGTTAATATCACTTAACTTATATTAAATATGCACTCATCCAAATTGCTTATGTATGTATGAATGGGCTATGGGTATAAAAGTACAGTGTGGTACACTCAATGTCAAGCACATGATGTCAAGCACTGAAAAAATAGAACTCTCAAATCTATCACGTGTTTAAAACGGATATTGCAGAAAATGTGACAAAAATACAGGTTCAATAAGTTTTCAGTGTGAAACAGGACACACCACCGTAAAAAAAAAAAAAAAATGTTCTGTAATTGCTACTGGTGTTCCCTGAGCAATAATGGAATCCTGGAGCTGTATACAGTACGTGTATTCCTGACCAGTCTCTGGCCAGATCAGATTTTCCGCCATTCTTCCTGTGCCAGCTGGCGAAGGCTGTGCAGTCGAAATGCTCTCTTGTTGATGGCAATGGTGAATTGGTCCCACAGGTATTCTGTTGGACTCAGATCAGACACTGCTTTCTTGAAGTTTTTCCACTGTAATTCTCGCACTGTGCGATCTTGCTAGAAAATCAGTACTTCTTGACTGGGTTGAGTCTATACTGGTGGGTCAAAGACTTGGTCAGTATATTGCTGATCAGTACAGTTGCCCTCAGTCTGGCCCAGAGGCATTCTTGTGTTAAGGAGTTTCCTCCCCCCTCATCACACCTCCATCCGAACCCACAGGCTGGCTTGAGCAACACAGGGCTCAGCAATGTTATGCCTTCTGTCAGGTCTGGGAAACATGAAATGGCATTTATCCCTGGGGAAAAACACATGTTTCACCACTCCCTCTGCTGCCACCCCAGATGCTTTGTGGTCTACAGTTTCATTTCTCAGATGCTAACATTACCCCTTGACATCTGAGAATGTTGGTCATTTTCCTTCAGTTGGATGGGTTGGTTTTCCCTAGAATGTCTTGTGTTGTAGCCACTACTGCCTGATATCAATTACACGGATGGATTAAATGGGTGTGATGGTCCTAGACTGGTGTGATGACACATTCACCAGCTACAACCACTGTATCTCTTCTTCTGATACACCCAGACTGTGTGCCTTTCTGGATGTAGCTTGTTTACCAAGAGGACTGTTTCCTGCTTTCTCTAGACCACCTGCTTTTTCAACTGCTTTTTGCATGTGCACATATCTTTAATCTTTTTTTGGCTTAATTAAAATCATACAAACCATTGGCATGTTTAATGGTTTATCAAAATGAATCATTATTTTATTCTCATTTTGGCAATTTTAGCTCATACATTTTTGATAAAATCCAAAACCTCAAAACCAAAAATTCATTCTGAGGCATATTGTTGATTTCTTCTTTGGGAAACGGCCCAGTAAAAGATGCGTTTCATTCATGTAGGATTGCCCTTTCTTCGTCATAAGATTCCCATTATTCTCTCTAAAACGATTTCATTCTGGGCTGTTCTTTTGCTGTTAAAAATCCTTCAGTATTGAGCTCAGAATTTTGTTATCCCAATAAACAGTAGTGCCCAAGCAATTAACAAACCTCTCTGCTCATTATATAAAATGTAAATTGCCCATCCAGGAATAAGTTTCTTTCAGATGATGGATGGATAATTATGTATGGGCCCAATGACCTATTTATGAAAACTTAGATTGTTTCATTTTTATGGTGCATCAGTAGATATAGCCTTCAAAGGAAATGGAATAAGTCAGAAAGAAGAAATACATGTGGAAATAAAGCAGTTTCCCTATGCTTGGCATGTCAGCTGTCACCTGAGAATTCATACCGTGACAGCATCTAAGAAGAATACAGCCCAGATCTTTTCATCACAATACAAAACGGATATTGTCTGCAGAGCTTGAAGGGATAAAAGTAAGAGAAATACTACAACAGAATGCTTAAGGAAACATTTTTTTCACTGGATCACTTTCTCTGGGAGCACTCTTTGTGGAATTCAGATTATTTTTTAGGTGGTTACTCTAACACTATTTTTGGATGCACTTTGAAGCACAAATGCATGGAAGCACACAGTAAACCAATGACAAAAGTGTGAATTTCTTTAATTCGAGGACTTTTTGACTACATCCAAGGCTTTGGAGCCAAGTAAATGAGATTTGGTGAAGTACTGGAGAGACAGTATGGGGAGACTGTTATCCTAAGAGCTGACTTATTCACTGTGGAGAAAGACGAAGGACATTTTGCTGGCAATATCCACTCTCTTTTTCCTGCTGTTCCATTCATAGGAACTGCTTTTTATCTTGAAGCGTCCCATAGTGGCTTCAATCAGGAGGATGACACACGCTATTTGAAAACCCTTCTTTAATACTGCTCACAGCGTGATATAAAATGAAATTATACTACAAATTGTGTTTCTCTGTTACATCATGTAACTATTGTCTTAAGACTTGTGACTTGGAGAAACAAGAAAACAGAACAATTAAAGATGCGAAGGGCAAAAGTGTGAAAATCTTTTCAGAGATGTAGACAAGCCCCTTTTGATCCGTTCATTCAGTTTCTGACTTCTGTATCCAGGAGCCTATCCCAGTGAGTGCAAGGCAAGGTACAGCCTGGATGGGACGCCATTTGATTGCTGGGCACACACAAACACCAAGGCCAATTTTCACATTACTAAGCACTTGCTGCAGACACGATGAGGACTTACTCCAAGAGTAAGATTAGTCAACATCCTGTGCAGTTCCTTCAGAAAACAAACTCTTACTTATATTTCACACTTCTCTTTTTCTGGCTTTCCGGTTTACACAGCAGTGTTTGTGCTTTGTTTACCTTCTTCGGTGATCAATTCTGCTTCAGCCGTCAATTCTGCTCTCAGGCACCATTTGATTTGGTTGACCTTTGATCATATAAACATCCAAATGGCACCAAATTCTGTAATGTGTGACAGAGGAAAGATCACAGCAGTGTCTCTCTGCAGAATAACACAAAGGGATATTGCACAGCTGAAAGAGAGAATCACATGAGCCATGTGGTTTTTTGGCAATAGGGTTGGATGTTTCGAAGACACCAATATTAGTTTTTTCATATAACATGCCTTACTTGCTTTCTATTGTAATATTTTGGTATAACAAGCTTATTAATCGATAATTCAATTACATTGATGAGAAACTGGTGGTGCTATACAGTACATTTGACTTGTAATGGATAGAAAGTTCCACTGTTTGACTGCGACTCGACTGCAAAGTTCAAGCTTTGAAAAGTGAACATTGTGAATCAGTGCTGAGACTCAGTAATATTACAGTACATAGTAAAATGTGACTTGAATCTGACGTGACGTTTCCCCTCTTGTCTTGATAACAGCCAGGAAGAGTTCCCATCACTTCTCCAATCCTGAAGATGAAGAGGCAGCACTGATGTACAATTATGTTCCCATGTTTACTAGCGCGTTCACCAGCTACAACCAGGTCTACTTCTTCTGATACACCCAGACAGAACTCAGATATCCTCAGTCTGAACTTCCTCAGGTCTCAACCACACAGTTTGATGGAGCAAAAAGGAGAAATGCAATTCAGAATTCCATTCCATAAAATTGGGATCTTTTTATTCCAGAAGTTCAGTTTGGGATTGACCAGTATAGTTGTGTGCACACTTCCGTCTTTAATACGTTTGTACTCTCAAACATGACACTCTGTCTAAGCAATGTTTCTCATTCAGCAGAGATGTGGGGTGACTCATTAAAACTCAGGAATGCAGAACTAGCAGGGTCAGACTAACTCTGCCTTTCTTGGTTTAATCTTTACACATGTACTTTTTTTTACTCTTTACTATTTGGCTGTATTTTAGAATGGGGGATGCAAAAGTTGGTTTTCTTGGGTATTTTATGATGACACAATGTTGCCATTTTAAGGCTGGTCACTTGGTATTATGGAAAAATAGCTAACCTGATGACTACATTTCTGATGATAGCCAATGCCCTGCATTTCCACTAAACCTGTAACAATAACAAGCTGCCAAAATACTTGTATTACTTTATTCCTATGTTTACTGCAAAATAATTAAAAATGTGTTCTCAAAAAGGTTGGACTGTGGTGTTAGAAAGTACTTGCATTAAATTATGTTCTTTCCAAGTGTATTTCTGTACAACTATGTGTCAAATACTAGTTTGTGGAGGGAATGATTTTGTGCTCATTTGCTCTTAAATTATGTACTGTTTTTTCCCCTCCGGTGTGTGATTTTATTTTTACTCTTAAGTAAAGTGCATTTGGAAATTGAGACTGTTTTAAAAATAAAAACGTTTGAATTATCATCAATTATTATTATAGTTATACCGTAAACACTTCTGTTCTGTTCCCATCTAAAAGTCTGATTAGACTGGTGCACAGAATAATCCTTCTTCTGAACTTTTTACAATTGCGCGAGTGGTAACAAAGAAGTAGCGCTTTGCATACCTACTGACCTAACACGCCCGAGCGACTCATGTACAGCCTTTAATTCCTGTAGATAAATTGATTAACAGAAGAGCGTAGTTCACCCCCACATTGCTGAAGGCGGGGTCCCGTGAAAGGACATTCCACGCAAAAGATGAACAATAGGCAGGGGAGGATTGGTTGATGAGAATGCCCTTCACCCGCCGTTGGGCGGAGGTGGAGAAGAAAGCAAACGAGCTTTTGTGTGTGTGTGTCAGTACTGGCTGTTACTTGATACCGAAGCGGAGTCGAGTGCAGAGTGTTAACAAAAGACTTTCATAGCCGAAGGAAAAAAAAAAAGGAAACTGGATCATCGATGGTGTTTGTAACACTAAACAAATCGAATGACACCTTTCCACGAGCACAGTAACTCTAGGTAAAAATATCGGAATTATCGTGAGAGGCGATAACAACTACAGCACGGGCTCGGATATTTTTTTTTCTCCCTTTCTTTACCCCCTGTTGTCTTAGGAGTGTAATATTCAAGAAGGTGTATCACTGCAGCTTTTTTTTTCTCGTTTCACGACTTCCGCGGCACTGGGGGGAAAAAGAGAAATCTACCCCATGTATAGACCTTGACGAGCGTGTGGCGAATTGAAGGAGCTGCTTAACTGGGGAGGGGGGGTTCTTTGTTTATAAACAATTTCTTCTCCCACCGCCGAGAAGTATCAGTGATTTATTGATGCACCCGTTCCAGTGGTGTAACGGTGAGAAGTCTGTTTCTTATGGTTTGCAGCTTGTTCTGTGTCAATTTTTTTTTGGTTTTGAGATGTATTTTTATGTTGTAATTTTTCTAGCATTTTTCTTCGTCTTAACATTTAGGTCTCGCGTTGGCTGCGTCAACGCTTGAGGTATTTGGGGCACGATGAAGTGTAGCTCGTATTTAATTAATCATTCATTAATCCCTGAAAGGGGGATAGCTAATTATGTGGGGTTTATTTGCTTGTAGTAGTCATGGTTATCTTTCTGTTGCTGTTGATACATTTTAATGCTTAAACCACGAAATGTAATTAAGTGTCATTTAGTACACGGTTTCTCACGCGTAAGATTTTCCATGCGTTATTCACATATGCGCTTATTTCTTCTTTTTATTCGTCCGTTTCGGTTGTTTTGTTTTAATTCGCGTCATGGACTGTAGGGATTTAAAGCTTTTGAAATGTTAAAACCTTCGTGGTGTGTAAAATAGCTTGTTTCTGATGTCCCTGTAAGCAGTTAGTTGGTCAGACCTCCCGCTGCGAGGCTTTCGGAGAGCATGTCACCCTTTTTTTTTAAAAAGTACTTAAAGAACTTAAAAGTTTTTATTTAATTTACTATCCGCCAGCTTTCCGAGCGGTGAACTGTACACGGAGGCAGCGAAACCCTTTTTCGTTTTCATTTCTGTTGTCGCTGTGCTTGGACGACTCCAGCTCACAGCACACCTATTTTTGTTTTTGTCAAGCAAACATTTACATATCTTTTAATTCTTATTACTAAGTAGTTTTAAGATGCGTTGCCACCTCAAGAAATTAAGTAGGAAAACAAAAGGAATGAAATCCTCTTTATACCTTCAAAACCCAACATCTCATTGACTGACCCATATATATATAAATAGACCTTTGAAACGTGGGTGTATTTTTCAGTACAATTGCACGCAAGACACTTTTTGGAGACTTTAAAATTCGTACGCCTGCGCCATTTCCCCCTACTTCATTATTAAATGCTTGGTGAGTATTTTTATTTCCATTCAGTTTTTTAACTTTTTGGTGGTCATTATCTAACACTCCTTATACGAGTAAGTCAAAAAGGATACATTAGCAGCTTACACAGCGTAAGGCAGATTTAGAGGTAATGGCGACTAATTCTCTCACTCTGCAACCGTATCATTTGAGGCATCGAGGGGAAAAAAAGCATCGAGTTAGACCGAGATCATTTAGCCTGGGTTTTGTCTAGCCTGATTTTGCTGAGGTAGCAGTGCAAAACGAAGTAGCCGATTACTACTTTACTGTTTCTTCATCGAACCCCCGTGTTGCGGAAACGTCTATTAGTTACCTGTCAATACCTGCCGGTATTGGACAAGTCCAATTTTAGTGGGACTGCCAGTCTTTCAAGCGACACCACTCCAGTTTCTACTCGCTAAATTGAATGAAAGTACCTGCATATCGGAGTGCCCGTTGGGTACTTCACACCTCTTCCACTTCCATCAAAACCAAGGCCACACCTTTTGTGTTAATGAATTCTTTAGTTATTCCAATGATGACGCTTTGTGCTTAAGTGTCCCTGCTTAGTGCAGTTAACCATGTTGATTACTGGCCCAGTTAATATAAAAAGATTAAATGGTTTGTACTCAAGATCAAGTTTTTTTTTTTTGCACACGCAGGGCCTGCATTTAGTGATTCTAACACAACCTTCATTCCTGGATCATCTGACTCTCATTCTCAAGACATTTCCTAATTAGCTGATTAACCAATATAAAGGGCAAAATCTTACTGCTACTGCTCAGTTCTGAATGGGTTTAAACAGCTGACCTTTTTAAATCCAGGAAAAGAAAAGCTTTCAGGAAGTGTCCAGACAAGATTTGGGGATCACTTAGCAACTAGTGAACAATTAAGTGTAGCCAGCTGAAAGACAACTTGTGACTCCTATCTTCTTATGTCTACTTTAATCAATAATGAGGTCTCTCAAGTTAATGGAGAGTGTGTTGCAATGTGCCTGGAGTTTTATGCCACTGGTTTGGCAACAAATTGCACTGATCCTTGGAGGAACTCGGTGAGCAGCCTTTATCCTCAGTGCCTGGTGGACTGTGCTGAAATGGGGTTTTGCATAGACGAATATAATAACCTGCTTGAATTTCATGGTATCGTACTGTATCTCTGAGAGCATTGGTTTCTCCCTTTACGAGGATGTGGGCAGCAAAGTTCCTGAAATAGCATTTTACCTAGATACAGCTCAGTCCTGTGATACAGTGTGATGAAGGGGAGGCCCCCATGTATATATAAAAAAAAAAGCATTTGGGGTCTCCCTTTGTCTAAGTCAGGTAATTATACTGTGCCTGATCCCATAGCTGTGTCGGCCTGAGCTTCTATCTGCAGACTAATTCATACCGATTCAAACTTGAGGTGATCGTTTTAGAGGTATTCTAGTGTCCATGCATTAGAGTGTATAGTAGGTCTTGTCACAATCATGGTTTTTATTTGTTTATTCAAAGAAGCCGGTCTTTTTCTTTGAAGTGTTGCTGTCCAAACTGTTCTGGTGTACTTGATATTGAATACTGTATATATTCTACAATTCGGGTTTAACTGTTTAATTATTTCAGATTTGGGCATTAAAGATGTTTTCTATGTATGAGCTTTATATCTGAATTTATAGCTTGATTCTCTGGAGGTTTGGGTAAACATTGATAATTTCACACCAGAAACCTTCTGTGGAGTGTGCATTTAATGTATCCTTTATTAACTTAATAGTGTTTCTGTTACAGTTCTTTATATGTTTGATGTAATGTTTAACCAAGCTTTTACTGTTTCTTGACTCAACCCCTTTGATAGTCGCAAAATCTGTATAAGACTGTAAGTATTTTTTTTTCTTATGTTACCGTTTGAAGCTTGTAGTTTATGTGACACTCGTGTTGCAGAAGTCTGTGTAACACAGATGCAGACAATAGCTGAAGTGTGGATTAGTGTTTTGTGAGGTAGAACCAATACACTGCCCATTGTTTAAAAACAACTTTCACTTTGTAAGATATATATATATAAGGAAGTAAAGTCTTGCAGGATATGTGGGTATAAGGCCTGTGGTGTGCCAGCAATGTGCTAGAGCATAGGAAAAAGAGACAGGTGATTTTAGAGTTCCCCTACGTCCCATATGTAGTCTGTGTGGAGGGAGTCCACTTGAAATTGCTTGTTTTATCTTTTCTGGGTCTAAAAACATGAAGCTGTCACTAGAAGCAGTATTCCAATCAACACATCTTTGCATTATTCATATTGGGTTTGGTAGGCAAACAATTGGCAGTCATGCTCGTGCTTCAGTTTTCTTTGGTATTATTTGCTGGGTTATTATGCAATTAAGTGATAAACCAGATATGATTTTCTAAGAGCTCAGTGGCTCATCATTATTAAAAAAAAAAATTGGTAAAGTGTGAGTATGAAAAATGCTGTTCCTTTCTGGATTAAGGTGACTCCTTCCTGGTAGATACAATCCCGATTAATCAAAATATCATTTGGACTTGTACAAGAGGCAGGGTGCTCTTCTTCTTAACCTCGTTTGAATTGTAGAATGCACAAAAGTTTAAAAAAAAAAACAGGGTGGGGGTTAAACTATAAAACGTACCCTCTTTCTGTTTAAAACTTTAACTCATTCCAGAACCGACTAAGGCTCTTGTCTGGTGTAAATTAGATGTTGTTTTACTGATGAAGTGAGCAGGTTTGTACAAAGGCTTCTATTTCAGCTAAAACAGTCAGGGCCTAGTGCATCAATGTTGGTGAACTGGAAATGTAAAAACGAATGGATATTTGAACGAAAAAGGGTGAACATGAACTTCCTTTAAGTCCTACACATTTCATTCCATGGTGCAGTTTTATTAATAATTATTTACAGGTACTGGACATAAAATAGAAACACCTGGGTTAGCGTCCTGAGGGACATTAAGTACTATATACTGAATGCAAGGTCTAACACACAAGTGTAACTCAGGCCAATCTTTTCTGGCTCCATCAACTTCGCAGTATTGGGCTTTTGTGTGGGGGAAAAATGGTTCCGTATCCATCCTGCAGAATTCCAGACTGGTAGACTGTGTGCAACAGCATGTTCATACGGTATTGAATGTACATGATGATCCCACATCCTATTAAGTGAAGTTACTTTGGTGTTTCATTTTATTATCTACTTCTTGTATTTCGGTATTTGAATTTCCAAAATTGGCTCCTCCCTTCCTCCACCGGTCAAAACATTTTGGCAAAACGTCTTTGCTGGAACTGCAGGACTGAATATTCACTTTTATTTTCAACTAGTCCTTGGGCACCCTTACATTTCAGATTCACTGTAGTACGGAATCACGGTAGGGATTTTTCTGAGTTGCTGTGCTTCTTAGTGGGTGTGTGATCTTTGTTTACAGATTTGAAGTTAAGTCGGTTCATCAAACAAAGACAAGCAGCCATATGCAGTATGCTATATTGCTGGCAGATTTCTGGAAGGCTTTTAAAGGACCTGATGTCTTCAGCGATCTGCATGCTATTAAAGGCAGATCAAACGATGTCATGTAGCAACAAAGCAAGTAACACGACTAGTTTAATTATTCACCACAATAACATTTGCAAGGAGTGCTGGGGCTTTAGAAATACCCCAAAATATTGCATGGTCTTATTTTGTCTTCCAAAGCTTTCGACCAGTTAATACTTAATGGAAGCAGCATTATATCCCTTTTGTTTCATTTCAGTGCATATACAGTAGTATGAAGAGAAATAATCAAGGAAGCAGTTGTGTGGAGTTGGATGCCACAGGAGATACTAAACTACTCTTGAACTTTGCTTCATCTTCAAATGACTTACACTTTTTTAAAAAGTTCTGCTAACTATCAGATTTTCACAGGACAAAGCCTGCTGTTCACATTTGCTGTACCACATCCTGGGCATAAATTAGTTTCATGTTGTACCAACAAGATGTCCACTCTTAGTATACCTCAGGAGCACCAATGACACTTCTCTTTTGAAGTTTGAGCTGTGATTTAAGAACTAAT